GACTGGTGAAACTGAATTCTTCAGTCGGACGCTCGTACCAACTGAGCTAAAGAAGCAGGGTGGCAGAGATGCAAGGTGTCGCATATATAAAGTATACAGATGTTGCATTGTTTCTTGTCCTTCCATCACCACCATACTCCTCACCACCATACTCCTCGCGAGACTGACTTAAATGACTGGATTGCATGAGAAGAGCATCAGCCATACGTGGGTTGACTGGCGCGTGGTCGAGAATGAAAGTCGCTTGGTGTGTCTTGGACGCAGGATCGGCAGGAGGAATGACAGTGACCACGACTCAAAATGGGCTGACATTTGAGTTGCCGTGAGCTGAAACGGCTTTCGAACGGGTGAGAGCCATGTCCAAAAATGCAGGGTCTGCAGCCTGAAAAAGCCAAAGCTGCCCATCCGCACTTTACCAAAAATCGTACGATGCTGCACTTGAGCGCCGCCACGCCTTTCGCATCTGTCACACTTGGCCTGCCTGTCTCTCTGCCTCAGCCGTTCGGATAGCCCTGGCCTACTTTCGGCATCCTCTCCTCTCAGCATCCTCTCGAAACCGATCCTCGACTCAGCCTGATTCACCTCCATCCACGCAGCTAAGGCTTGCCCAAACCGCCGCACACAGCCTCGCATTCTCACTACTGACAAAGCAGTCTCGACGCTCACTGCAGCTCAACCTCATCCTCATTCAGCACATCTGTCCTTTCATTGGCACTTTCATCTATACATCACCTCTGCCTCGACATTGTCATAGCGCAACCCGCCCTTCTCTTCACAGTCATTGCTTCTCTGATCACGTTACAGCCCACAGTCTTCTCAGCGACAGAGCATTTAGTCTGCTGCAAACACGCCCTCCTTCTATCAGTGGTCTCAGGGGCTGTCTAGACCACCTATCATGTTTGCTAATCCAATGAACCACGGTGGGCCTTCGCCTCAACAACAACAACAGCAGCAGCAGCACCACCACCACCACCAACAGCAGCAACACTACCAAGAGCATGCGCAACATCAGCAGCATCCAGACTCCATGGATGGCCAATATCAGCACCACCAGCACCAAGCTCAGCTCGAAGCCATGCGCATCCTGCAGCAACAGCACATGCTGCCCAGCATCGTCGCTCCCAAGCAGGAAGAGCTCGGTGTCATGCACAACCAGCCCTCCGGTCCCTGGTCCAGCGACGACTATGATTCCATGATGCGCACCATCCTCGATGCTACCCTGCCCTCCGACCACTTCACCGACCTTGAGGCTCCTCCCTCCCTCGCCTCGTTCTCCGCTTCCTATGCCGGCTCCTATGTCTCTGGCTCGAGCGACAGCGGCGCCAGCCCCAACAGCATCAACGACCTCGTCTACGGTGCCGCCCATTTCCCCACACCGCCTGAGTCCGATGTTGCACCCTCGGCTCGCAACATGTCCTTCTCGATGGCTCCCCACAACGGTGCCGTCATCAGCCCGGACGGTAGTTTCGAGCTTGGCAATGCTTCTTATGCGCAGTCCTATCACGGCTCCGATACCACTTCGCCGTATACCCAGAACTTCAACTTCAACGCATCATCATCCACCTCGCCGTTCGGTCTGCAACCTATGCAGCTTCCACCCCATTCAATGGCTCCCAGCGATACATCTTCGCTCGCCGTCGCTCAACCACCTCAGCCCTCCGCAACCATGTCTCAGCAGTGGAACCCATCTTTCCTCGCGCCCAGTCACGACGCCATGCCATCGTCCATGCCAGCCACCACCAACAACGTCAGCAGCGCCAGCCGCAAGAGAAGCGCTGCGGATGCCGTAAAGCCGGCAGCAAAGAGGGCTTCGGTCGTTGCTGCCACCAAAGCAGAGCCGACCGATGACGCTCCCAAGGCCAAGAAGGCAAAGGCGACTGTCGCAGCCGCCGAGTCCAAGGCGCCCTCGACCGGCACTGCAGCGCCCATCAGTCACCTCAGCAGCAAGCTCCCTCACATGGAGGTCGGCAGTAACGCGACCGCTCTTGCCGCCATCGAGAGGCTAAAAGCCAAGCGACTCCAGGAATCTCAAGCTGCCGCCAAGGCAGCCAGCGAACAGGCTGCAGGACTCGGTGTCGCGCAGAGTTCTGCATCAGCGACCTCCGCCGACAAGATCAGCCTCGATCCCGCCACTCGCCAGCAGAAGAAGGTCGCCCACAATGCGATCGAGAGGAGATACCGCAACAACATCAACGACAGGATCGCCGCCCTCCGTCGTGCTGTGCCGGCCTTGCGCGAGATCCGTCCACGAAAGACGCCATCCGGTCGCCGAAGCCGAAAGGCGCAGCAAGAGGAGGACCTTGTCGATGGTGTTCCTGCTGCGACCAAGCTCAACAAAGCTACCATTCTCGGCAAGGCCACTGACTACATCAAGTACTTGAAGTCGCGAGAGCTGCGACTGAACAGCGAAGTCGCCGGTCTCCGGGAGCTCGTCCGCAGTCTCGAAGGAGGCGAGGAGCTTCTCGAGCTCTGGGAATCCGAGATGGATAAGGTCGTGGCGGAACAAGAAGCCATCGCGGCCGCCGTTGCCGCAAGAGAAGAGGAAGAAGCCGAACAGGCTGCCGGCAATGGCGAAGCTGAGGACGATGATGACGATGATGAAGAGGCGGATGACGACGAGAACGAGGCCGACACTGCCGAGAGTTCGTACGCCAGCGCTGGATCCTCATCCCCTCCGTCTGCGCGCAGCCGTCAAGGATCCAAGGCGGGACGAGGCCGTCGCTCCGGCATTGGTGGCGCCATTTCTTCGGTCGCCTCCTCTCGCTACATGCTGGCCACCTTCCTGGGGATCAGCTTCATCGGATCTGGCACTGAATTTGCTCTCGACGCTACCGCATCCGATGGCTCTGTTTCTGTTGCTCGTCCTGCCGTCGGAAAGCTCGCGGTCGGCGCGAGCCGTCAATTGCTCAAGCGTTCCGCGACCTACATGGCACCTGCTACTTCCATCGCTCAGGATCCTCATGCCTTCGACGCTGTTCCCACGCATGCCCTCGCCTTCGAAGTGCTGCGCATCGTCTCGTTCGCCTTCTGCTTCCTCTTCCTCGTTTGGCCGATCTTCTCCCGTCTCTTTGGCTCGCGCTCGTCGCCTTCGGGGGCACACATCGGCGACGCCGAGGATGGGCAAGATGCAAGGAGCGGCAACACAACCCGCAAGCTGCGCTTGGCGTTGACCAAGGGCGAGATGGATGTCGCCACTTTCGACACTGCCATGCGTGCCCGCGTCGCAGCACCTACTTCTGGCTTCTTCGCTGCGCCTTCCGTGGCCGTTGCCGCGTCGCGTCTTGCTCTCAGCCGCGTCTCCCGCGTCTACAGGCTGCTGCCTGCTGGCAATGTGTCCAACGAGGATGCAGCAGCTCTCTGTCGCCTCCTCGAGGTCGAGACTCTGTGTGAAGGCAAGTCGCAATCGTCTTGGCTGCTCCGCCTCCACACGGCGCTTCGCCTCGCCAACAGCGACCTTGTCCGTGGCGCTCGCGAGATTGCCTCGCGTGACCCTGTGTTGGCCTTGCCTCGCCTTCAGGCAACGCTCGCGCTCTCGCTCGCTCGTCTGGGTGAAGGTGTTGACTCTGTCCAGGACATTGCCGACCAACTTTGGACGGACGCTCGATCGAGTCTCGGCGATGCAATTCCTTCCTCCAGCAAAAACGCTTTGTCGCCCTCTGCGTCTGACAAAGACGAGAGCTTGATTTACACGGAAGACGCTTCGTGGCTCTCGTTTGTGCTCTCGCTCGACCTCGACACTGCGCTCGACTTGCTGGCTTCTGCCTCGTCGGCCGACACCCGCAATTGCGACTTTTCTCCCGTGCTTGCCATCGCCGACGTCTATTACTGCACACGCCTGACCGCTGTGTGGAGTCGTCTGCTGGCCAGCGTTGTGCAGGCATCGTGCCCTTCGTCGGCCGACACCCACCCCGGTGCGCTCGTTCGTGACTTTGTATCGCTACAAGCGAAGCAGAGGCTGGACCTGCACATCGTCCAAGATGCCGAGCAGCGCAAGACGCTGCACGCCGAGATCACCTTGCTCGCCCGCACTGCTCCACCCACCCCTCGCGCTTGGCAGATGGCTCAAGTGACGCTGGCCACCTGGTCCGCTGTGCTGGGCAACCTCGCCCTGGCCCGCCACGTCGCCTCGCTCCTCCACGAGCACCCCTTCTCCACCGAGTCCAGTGTCAAGCTGGCCAGCGTTGCAACGCTGCACACGTTCGTCGCGACCACACCGTCAGACAGCGCAGTAGCAGCGCGCGACGACCTCGACGCCAAAGCCACGCTCTTCCTTACCTGGCTCGGCTTCCTCCGCACGTTTGCCGACAGCCGTACTGACGTCGCGGGCTTGCACTCTGCCACCCTGCACGTGCGCAAGCTCGTCGCCAACATCCCCGCCCAGGACGAGGACGAGCTGGAAGGATGCTTGGATGCCATTACGGATCTATGCACTGCGCTGGGGAGGAGAATCAACAGGTTGCCCGCAGAAGGCGGCTTGGCAAGGAAGATGCTCGATGCCGCCGAGGAGAGCGATTCGGGAGTCGAGGTGTAGTTCCACCTGGAGAACCCGCTCATATTTATTTCCTATGATTGACTCGTCTAATACACCCTGATCTGTGTTCAGCATCCATTATACATGCGTTGACGCTACGAGAAAGAAGCAAGGGGCTGAGTGTGGTTTTTGACGACGAACAAGGTCGACATGATCGTGGTCAGCTTGCGCTTTGCGGACTCGATGTTGGACGCACAGCGATGGACTGAAGCTGAGCGCCCGTGTCGCGTATTTGAAATTTGTATTCCGGCATCCGAGTCTGGGCTTGAACTCGATTTGAAACGAGCTGCACAGCGTCGATCCTTTTGTAAGGAGACAAGAAAAATAAGGCAACGCGCCCATTAAAATATTATAGCAAAGAAGTTCTTGGTTGGAAGCCTTGGGCTAATGAGCTGGCCATCCTATCAATCGCACCATAGACATCGGTGGAGGGATTGCCAGGCTGATATCCTGATAATGGATGGGAGCATAACGTGCCTGCTAGCTTATCAGGACTCCATTGATCAGTAGTGGGTCTGGCGCTGTAGCGCACTGCAAGTGGATGCACCCTGCTCTAGGCCGCCTTATGGCATTGTTTTTGAAAAATCAGCAACAGCACAAAGGCGCAATTTCGACTGTGCAGTGACAGTCGTGTCGCATCATCTCGCTTGGCCATCGCAGTCCAAAATCTCAGGGTTGGAGTTTCAGAGCGCATGTCTGCCTGACCCTTGCTTGTTTTTGTCTCTCGCTTGCCTCGCTGCTCCTCTCCGTGGCAGGCCTACAGAGTCAGGGACAGTCACCTGCCTTTTGTCCATTTCCCCCCTTTCTCAGCCCCGCCTCGCGCTCACTGTTGGTCTCCCTCACTTTCCAGACTTTCGTCGTTATTGCTATCTCATCATCCCTACCTTCCTCTTTCCCTTCTCCTCGTTCCCAAGCTCCTATCACCATCTGGACATTCCGCGACACTGCATCCACTGCATTGCATCCTTCCCTACAGACACTCTTTTCGAGCATCTTCCACTCTCTCGCTTTGAGAGCATCCCTTCAACTCCTCCGCTTCGAGACATCAAACCCCACCCGCTCGTCTCGCACAGACACCCCTTTCGATCCCGACGCTCCTGCTCACCCGCACGCATCTCGACTTCAGAATAGACCTCGATCACAAGCACTGCACTCGTTGATACCTCGGAATCGCAAAGCTTGCTCTCAGCTTCTTGCCCTGCCTTCACTCTTCACTGCAACATCCCGCATACAGCACCAGGATCTGTTCCCATCGACAAGAAGCATCGAGGCACTCTTTCCGATATCGATTCCTCCATCACTCATCCGAGCTGCGGCTAGTCCTCGTTCTGCAGGTCACAACGACCGCCTCTCTCAGCATACCGTCCCTAGCTTGGCTTCCAATCTCAGGTCTTAGTGGCGCGCACTCTTCAGACTCATCTGAGGCGTCCCGTGCCGCTTGAATCTCCCGTTCGACCCACTTCCTCTCCCTGGACTGCCGGTCAGAACCGCCAAGCATCTCAAGATGAGTTCACCTATCACCAGCGTCCCGGACCCATCCCAGTCCTCCGCCCTCGCATCCATCATCACCCAGGTGCAGCCTGGCCAAGTCCCCGTCGCGACTCGAGGTGCTCGACCAACTCAAGTCGCCAGGAAACCAGCTGCAGCAGACGCATCACGGAAGAAGAAGAAAAAGAGCAAGTCGACGGCAGCCGCCAGCAGCGCTCAGGCGCAAGAAGCCGCCCAACTCAGATCCCAGGATGAAGCCGTCGCTGAAGCAGCACGTCTCGGTTCGGAAGCTGCCCACTCTCAGTCGATCGCCAACTCTGCGGTTGCTTCCTCCGGTGCGGTTGCAGCCACAGCCCCACCAGTAGACGGCCAAGACGAGACGGGAGCACAACACTCACATCAAGCTTCGTCGACGCTGGTCGGCACCTCGAGTGCGGGGAATACCATGACGCATAGCGGCGTTCTCGCGCCGTCGGGCGCAGCAGGAGACCAAGAGGCGGCAGTGGGCAACCGAAGCTCCAACATTCCAACAGCGACCGAGAGCAGCGAGGGAACCGTCGAGAAGGACGGGCTGATCGATGTGCCTCCACGCAAGCATGCTGACGCCCCTGCCGCAGCAGCGCCTGCTGTTGCCGCCGCACCCGTCGGCGCTGCCGGACCCAAAACGACGTCAGCTGCCGCGGCTGCGCCTGCTTCGAGCGCGGCGAAGCCACCCACAGCATCGAGATCGACGCCAACGACCAAGTCAAAGCCAAGCAAACCAAGCTTCGGGCAGCGGCTGGTAGCCTTCCTCACCTGCTCATCGGCGACGTCAAGCGAGGTGCAGCACGAGATGCGCGAGAAGAGCGCCGCGAGTGCACCCGCGCGTCCCACCACCTCTGCAGCGCCAGCAGCAGCACCCGCCGTTGGAGGCGCAGCCGTCGTGGTGCCGCCCCGCACGCCCACCTCCAAAGGCGCTGCTGCTGGCGCCGACTATCCGACCACACCAGGAGGGGGCACCAAGCTGCCCAAAGCTGAGACGGGCGACGTCATGTCCGGCGCGGTAGTGCCACCGGGAGCCTCTTTCGTGACGGCGGACGAGGCCCGCAAGTCTCGCGCGTCGAGTGTCAATGGTGCTCGAACATCTCTCTCCCCAACCTCGTCGTCCGATGCCTCCGACGATGATGATGAGGACGACGAAGACGAAATGGACCTCGAAGACGACTACCTGACCGACGACCAGACGGAGGAACAACGACTCATTCTGGCTGGCGGCATCGGCATCCCGCTGGACGAATTCGGCAACCCCTCTCCGCTCCTCCCCCCCATCGGTGCGGTGGATACGGGTCGCAAGTGCCTCGTCCTCGACCTGGACGAGACGCTCGTCCACTCGTCCTTCAAGATGATCCAGAACGCCGACTTTATCGTCCCCGTCGAGATCGATGGCACGGTGCACAACGTGTATGTCATCAAGCGGCCCGGTGTCGACGAGTTTTTGCGCGCCATGGGCCTCATCTACGAAGTTGTCGTCTTTACTGCATCCCTAAGCAAGTACGCAGACCCCGTACTGGACATGCTCGACATCCACCAGGCCGTCCGACACCGCCTGTTCCGCGAAAGCTGCTACAACCACAAGGGCAACTATGTCAAAGATCTGTCTCAGCTGGGACGCGACATTGGCGACACGATTATCATCGACAACAGCCCGGCGAGTTACATCTTCCACCCCAACAACGCGGTGCCGATCAGCAGCTGGTTCAATGACCCGCATGATACGGAGCTTACGGATCTTTGTCCCTTCCTGGCGGATCTGGCCGACGTGGATGATGTGAGGGCCGTCTTGGATGGCGCGCTGTAGGAGACGTCATTTGTTATACCCACCGCCCTTGTCCTAGGACTCTCCTCTTCATCCTTTCCCTATCACAGAACATTCTCTCATGCATGCCTCGGTATCCAGCACATGCTCACACATGCAATCACATGACAAACACACCATCTGTGCGACTGTGAGACCCTCGACGTGCAGCATCGACATATCGTAATTGAGCAAGGCAGACCGTCGCGTCCGTTACGCTATGAAACCCAGCGTGATGACCCTGAGGTCATCGAGCAACCTTGTTCGTGGGTTGTAAGGAGAATCAAGGGTCCAGAAAGGTTGACCGCGATCCGAGGTGGTCAAAAATCCAGCCAAGAGCCTCAGTCGAAATCCTCCACCTCGTTGCTTTCTTCTCAACCTCGATGACCCTTCACCCATCCGCGACCCACTTTCTGCTGCCGGACAAACACCGCAAGAGGCGCCCGTCATGGCCTCAGATCCCGACCTCCGGCGCTGGATTAGCGACAACAGCATGCGCTTCTTTGGCCTCTCGCAATCCTCCATCATCGACTTTGTCCAGGTCTCGGCATCTTCAGCAAAGACGCCCACCAACCTCTTTCAGAGCCTCACCTCTCTCGGTCTCCCGTCCAGCGATGACGCGCGCAGTTTTGTCAATGAGCTCTACCGACGCGTGCCGCGAGCCAGCCAGAGCCAGCCCCGCCCAGCCGCTGCAAGCAGAGACGACGCCAAAGACGATGCAAAGCGCAGCAAGAAGCGCTACGGTCTGTTGCTCGACGAGGAGAACGGCCAAGAGGAGCTCGCCATCAAGCCGGAAAGGAAAAAGAAGAAGAAGAAGAGAGACGCCAGCGAAGTCGCTTTGGAATCGCGACCCCGTTCGCAGTCACTGCGAGCAGACCGTAGCATCTCAAGGTCGCCCAGCCCGCGCCACGATGCATCTGGATCCGACGAAGAGTCACGAGAGCGTGCACGCCTCAAGGACCTTGCCGAGCGAGATGAATTCTCTAAACGTATCCGCGATAAGGACAAGGGCAGCACCCGCAACGTTGTCGAGGACCGCACCTCGGCCCGGCTCAACCCAGAAGCAGCCGCACGCCGATTGCTCGCCGAAGACGACGATGCACGCTCCGCAGCCATGCCCAGTCTCCGCGACAGATCGAGGCAAGAGTACCTCGCAAAGCGCGCACAGCAGCGCATGGAGCTCCTGCGTCTCGAGATTCAGGACGAGGAGCGCTTCTTCCGCGGTCTCAAGATGACCAAGCGCGAAGAGCGAGATCTCGAATACAAGAAGGAGGTCCTTCGACTTGCAGAAGAGAGGGCACGCATCGACGATGGAGACACCGGCTACGCCATGCCCGAAGACTACATCACCGAGAAGGGCAAGCTCGACGTCGCTAAAAAGGAGCAAGCTCTGTACCAACGCTACAACGATGCACGAACCGAACGCCTCGCGCAGCAGTCGCACGTCACCGACGCCGAGCAGTTCGAAAAGGAGCAGATCGACCGCTCTCGCTACGTGCCAGAGACAGCGACCGAAGCGTCCAAGGAGCTTGTCGACCAGTACGACTATGTCTTCGACGAGAGTCAAACGATCCAGTTCATCGTAGAGTCGCAGATGGCCGGCACCACTTCGACCTCGATGAGCGCCAAAGACAAGCTCTTGCAACAGCAGATCGAAGAAGCCGAGACGAAAGCCGCCAAGATCCAGGCCACTCGCAAATCTCTGCCGGTCTACGCTCTGCGACAGGAGCTTCTCGACGCCATCGATGAGTATCAGGTGCTCATCGTCGTCGGCGAGACGGGCTCGGGAAAGACGACGCAGTTGCCTCAATTCCTGCACGAAGCTGGCTACACCAAGAACGGCAAGAAGGTCGGATGCACACAACCGCGCAGGGTCGCCGCCATGAGCGTTGCCGCACGTGTAGCCGAAGAGATGGGCGTCCGACTCGGTCGCGAATGCGGCTACAGCATCCGCTTCGAAGACTGCACTTCCGACGACACGGTCATCAAGTACATGACGGACGGCATGCTGTTGCGAGAGTTTCTCACCGAGCCGGACCTGAGCTCGTACTCGGCGCTCATCATTGACGAGGCGCACGAGCGTACGCTCAGCACCGATGTGCTCTTCGGGCTGGTCAAGGACATTGCGCGCTTCCGACCGGATCTGAAGCTGCTCATCTCGAGTGCTACGCTCGACGCCGAAAAGTTTTCGGAATTCTTCGACGATGCGCCCATCTTCAACGTTCCTGGACGCAGATACCCCGTCGATATCCACTACACCCCGCAACCCGAGGCGAACTACCTCCATGCAGCCATCACGACCGTCTTTCAGATCCACACGACCCAACCGCGCGGCGACATCCTCGTCTTCCTCACGGGCCAGGACGAGATCGATGCGGCGATGGAGAATCTGCAAGAGACGAGTCGAGCGTTGGGCAACAAGATCGCCGAGCTCATCGTCTGTCCGATCTACGCCAACCTACCCAGCGAGATGCAGGCCAAGATCTTCGAACCGACGCCCGAGGGAGCGCGCAAAGTGGTGTTGGCGACCAACATTGCCGAAACCTCGATCACGATCGACGGCGTGGTGTTCGTGATCGATCCTGGGTTTGTCAAGCAGAACTCGTACAATCCCCGGACGGGCATGTCGTCGTTGACGGTGGTGCCGTGTTCCCGGGCGTCGGCGAACCAGCGTGCCGGTCGAGCGGGTCGTGTCGGCCCTGGCAAATGCTTCCGCCTCTTCACCCGTTGGGCGTTCAAAAACGAGATGGACGAGAACACCACGCCCGAGATCCAACGGACCAACCTGGCCAATGTAGTCCTCCTCCTCAAATCGCTCGGCATCAACGACCTTCTGAACTTTGACTTTCTCGATCCCCCACCGTCCGACACGCTCATGCGCTCGTTCGAACTGCTCTACGCCCTCGGCGCACTCAATGACAAGGGCGAACTGACGAAACTTGGCCGACGAATGGCAGAGTTCCCCGTCGATCCTCAACTCTCCAAAGCCATCCTGGCATCCGAGCACTACCGGTGCACGGAAGAGGTCCTCTCAATCGTATCGATGCTCTCCGAGTCCTCAGCGTTATTCTTTCGACCCAAGGACAAGAAGCTGCACGCCGACCGGGCGAGGGCCACCTTCACCTCTCCCATCGGTGACCATTTCACCCTGCTCAACGTGTGGGAACAGTGGGTGCAGACCAACTACGATCCCCAGTTTTGCCACGATAACTTCCTCCAGCCCAAAGTGCTAGCGCGGGTGCGCGATGTGCGGGACCAACTAGCAGGATTGTGCGAACGCGTCGAACTCCAACCCGAAAGCAATGCCGATCCAAACGATGTTTCTGGCATCCAGAAGAGTATTCTCGCCGGGTACTTCATGAATACGGCCAGGATTCAGAAAGGCGCCGAAGCCTACCGCGGAGTGAAAGGCAACACCACCATCTACGTCCACCCCTCCAGCTGTCTATACAAGCAGATCCCACAGAGTCCCTTCCTGTGCTATTTCGAACTGGTCGAGACAAGTAAGAACTTTATGCGTCAGGTGATGGCGGTGAAGGGAGAGTGGCTGTTGGAGGTTGCCAAGCATTATTTTACCAAAGAAGAGGTGGGGGATGAGGCGAAGAAGGGAGTGTATAAGGGGAGGACGGCGAGTGCGGCACAGTTGACGTCTGGTGCGAGGGGGTAGACAGCACAAGTAATCGAGTCCTTCAAAGCAGTCGGTTCTGTGCATCGCTCGGAATGAGAGCATTGAAAGCATGACATTGGCGCGAGCATCGTACCAACACGCGTGATCATCGTCACCTGACAACCCAAACCGGATCACGGTCCCGACCCTGGACCTACACAACGGATCGCAGCCCCTCGTGCACCTCGCACGCCTGCATGAGCGTCTCAATCGCCTCATCATCGTCCGTCAACTGTCCCTGTTCGCACCAGAGCGTCTTACCGCTGCCACGATGCAGTGCATCCTTGCAAGTCATCTTGCCGCTCGCCACGAGCTTGGACGAGACCATGTCGGCTTTGGCGCGCGTACGGCCGTTGGGGAGGGTGCAACGGGCGATTTGGCCTGAGGAGAGCTGGAGGAGGACTAGGGAGGAGGGGCCTGAGATGGCACCGCGGAGAGCGGGCGGGCCAGGAGGGTCGAGCGGACCGAGGGGACCTTGAGGAAAGGGCATGGCGAGGACGCCGCCGCTGAGGAGGAAGAGGATGGTGTGGATGGCGATGGTGAGGGTGAGGATGAGCTTCATGGTGAAGAGCAACGGTTCTAAAGATAGAGATGGAATGGATCAGATTTGAGTCAAGCAAGGCTGGAGATGGGCGGCGACACGCTTACGAGTTGGGATCTGGATAGCAGGTACCGCTGAACGGGGGGATAAACAGTAACAGGATGTCGGAGGCGACGTTAGCTGATGGTCGGTCTGGTGGGAGGGAGGGAAGAGGATCTTATAGCTTGCCGCATTGCTTCGAGCCAGGGGTGGCTGAGCAGCCTTCTCCTCATGTCACCGCTTCATTCCGCCACATCACATCATATCGAACAGAGTCACAAGGGCGTGTGACGACGTCGGGTGACCCGCAAACCAGGCTGAGGTAAACAAATGTGGGTCAACTTGATGGAGCTTCATCTGCCGTCCACCGTGGGAACTGTGACGGCGCCTCAAAAAGCCCATCGCTTCCGCCGGACAGTGTTCGTGACCACGCAGACGGATTGGTGGTGGCTGGGTCGAGCTTGTCCGCCTCAGATCGGACTCGTCCGGCATGACAGCAAGCCTCGGTTGGTCCATCGGCCGCGCCGTTCGATCACGCTAGCTGGTCCACACGATCCGGGTTTCTACACTTTCTCACGCTCCTCTCGAGCGGCGTCGGACAAGACCCGGGTGAGTTGAATGCATGGTCTGCCCTGCCTGCCAGCGCAAGACGGATGGACCGACCGGCGGAAGCGGCCCGCCCTCGTTGTCAACCCTCAATCCCCGCGCCGACTCGCGCGCACAACCCACCCTTCGCTATCGTCACATGCCTCCATCTGCGTCGACCTTTGCGATCTCTTTGATTGTCTTTCTCTTGGTACATAGCTTCCCACGCGTCGGGTGACATCCGACTCTCGGCCTGAGCTCCCTCCTTAGCGCTTTCGCATCTGCACCCTCGGGTCCCCCTTGGCCGCCCTGGCCTGCAGCTTTGCCTGACGCTTCGAGACGGGCTCTCCCGGCTGTTGCGGAGCGGCCTGATTGGCTCCCTGAGCACCGCCGCCCCGCCCGAGCAACCCCTGCAGCGAAGCGAATGGACTCTGACCGCGAAAGAGATAAGGCAGGAGGATGTTCTTGTAGATGATAAACGCTGCGTATCCAGGGATCTGTACGCCAGAAAGTACATGTCAGCGTCCCGAAGGACCAAATAGCCGGTAGACAGGGACAACAACTTACGATGAGGTAAAGATACCAGAAGTTGCCCCACACCAACGAAGCGATCTGGACGAACCAGGTGACGTAGATGATGTCGAACATGTACTGCGTCAGCCCGCTCTGCTGGAGATCGTTGCCCTGGCGAGCCATGCTCTGCAGCGTCAACCACAGCGCTACTGCGATCGCCTCCGATGCGGCATAGCCAAAGATGACGCGCTTGGTGACAGAGGACCGGAAGAGCCAGAATCGGACCAGGAGGTAGAGCGTGTTGGTGGCCAGGAAGCCATTGCGCAGAAGGGTGAGGAGGAAGGTGTTGCCCGTAGCCGTCTTTTTCGCGCTGCCTCGAGCCTGCATGAGTGCGAATGCGTGGGTTCGGGAAGTTGATAAGTGAGCGATCGGATGTGCCTTCTTAGGAGCCGCTAGGTCGAGGTGCACTTACCATCTCGACAAGTCTCTAGGGGTGATGATGGAGGAAGGGCGTCAAGCTTGAATTGGCAACGCCTGATGTTGAGAAGATCTATCGTCAACTCCGCATTTTTGGTCGCGTGGCCTCTTTTGTTTTGGCCGGTCAATTCCCGAGCTGCTTGTAGCTGTAACGGTGTGTCTGACGTGAGTTCCTACCCCCTGTTCTCGACTTGGCCTCTTTACTGTACGAGCTCTGCGCAGAGGCGACAGCCTTCGCCGTGCACACAAGCGAACCTTTGAGGCGCTTCCCACATTTCACCGTCACAGTGTCCAAGCCAGAAACGAGCTCTCAATCCGAGCCTCAGGCCGTCCAGATCGAACCTTTAAAAACCATCAAGACCGCATCACTCTGACACTCAAAAGCGAAACTGATTGTCCATTGCTGCTAGAGACACACGGAAACAGAAGTCCGGAGAGAACGATCCGACAAGAAAAGACAGCCAGGACCGTGGCGGAAGAGCTGCGACGACGCTTGCCTCAACAACAGGCTCCCGCATCGAGCAGTGCGGGCTTTGTAAAGCTACTGTCCTCAGCCGTCCTTTCCACGCACCATCGCGATCCCCGGGCAGCAAAAAATCCCCTTCCGTGCCGGTCGTCTCTTGTCGAGTCGGCCCTTTCACCTCAAAGCAGAATCCAGACACCCACGCCCGCCGCAACGATGCTCGCCGAGATAGCCGGTAGCGAAGCGCGCAGCATCGCGCCGGCGCTAACAATGTGACTGTCGTTGGGACCCAATGCGGCTGTGCCTTGAGCGCCTGAGCCGCCTCCTGGGACGGGAGCCGCTGCTGTGCCTGCCAAGTAGCCGGTGGTCGGAACGCTTGCGATGGGGAAGGTGGTCGGGGTGGTGCTGGTCGACGAGGCGCTGCTTGTGGAGCCAGCTGAGCCCGTGATGGAGGAGCCGCTGCCAGTGCTGGAGCCTGTGCCAGATGCCACGTTGGACCCTGATGCTGATGTTGCGGATGTGGCTAGCAAGGAAAGCAGGGGAAGACGTCATGCACGAGGATACGAGAAAGCGGGTTAGCATGCATACGCGGATCATTGTTTCGCTGGCAAGAAGGCGAAGCACTTACCAGTACCACTCGATGCAGGCGCATTGCTGGTAGCAGATGCTTGTGTCGACGAAGCAGTCTGAGACCCGCTCTGCTGTGCCGAGACGAGCGCGCAGAGAGCGAGCAACATGAGTGCGAGGCACTGCAGAGCAATGCTGCGTTGGGTCCTCATCGTGCCGATATTCAGTAGTTGGCGGTGTCGCTGGCTGTGTTGGAGATCGAGACCGAATGCAGCAGCTGATGTTCCTCAGCGCTTCGTATGTTGGGGCAGCGTCGATGTCGAGGATGGAAGTGGTAGGACGAGTTGATGAAGGTGACCTGATCTGCTCGCCAAGCAAAGGCAGACCGCTCAGGGTTCACCAGCAACGGAACTCCGCTGGTGCCTCGCAGTCACGAAATTTTGAGCCAGCACGCACCAACACTTGGACCCTCGCCAGCCGAAGTGAAACCAACTCAAGCAAAATTGTATGATGTTAGAAAAAGATCAACCAACACGTAGAGATTTTTTAGCTTGCAACTGCTTCGCCGCGATTGGCCGATGAAAAAAGCGGGAGCAGCTCTCTCTGTGCATAATCTTCTCACCAAAATCCCCGCTTGAAAAATGACTCGGCAGCAAAGCTCAATTGTGTGTCAATCTGGAAGAAATGGCATTTGCCAGATCATAATTCCACCTCCTCTCCTCTCTCTCATCACCCCTCGATCACCATCACAGCATCGCCCTCACTCATCATGCTGCGATCCGCTCTCCGGTCGTCTGCGGCGTCTCCGCTCCTTCGCGGCGGTCTCGCCCAGCGTCGAGCCCTCTCCACCTCCTCCTCGCTCAACGCAGAGCGAGCTCCCCCTGGCGCCCTCAACAAGTACTCGCGCATTATCACCAAGCCCAAGGACCAGGGTGCATCCCAAGCCATGCTCTACGCCACCGAAGGTATTCAGACCGACGAGGATCTCACCCGCGCCATGGTCGGCATCGGCTCCATCTGGTATGAGGGCAACCCGTGCAACGCCCATCTGCTCTCCATCTCGCAGCGCGTCAAAAAGTCGGTTCAGGAAGCTGGTCTCACTGGCTACCAGTTTGGCGCCGTCGGTGTCTCGGACGGCATCTCGATGGGTACAGATGCCATGTCGTACTCGCTGCCCTCGCGTGATCTCATCGCCGACTCGGTCGAGTCCGCTTGCGGTGGTCACTGGCTCGATGGCTGTGTGGTCATCCCTGGTTGCGACAAGAATATGCCCGGTGTGCTCATGGCGCTCGGCCGACTCAACCGCCCCGGTATCATGCTCTACGGCGGTACCATCCGACCTGGTGGATGCGCTAGCGTCGAAGGCTCGCTGGATATCGTCAGCGCCTTCCAATCGTACGGCCAGTATCTCGCCAACGGTGGCACTCCCGACGCTGAAAAGATCCGCTACGATACGGTCCGCAACGCCTGTCCCGGCCCTGGCGCCTGCGGTGGAATGTACACCGCCAACACCATGGCCTCGTGCGCCGAGGCACTTGGCATGACCCTCCCCGGCTCCTCGTCTTTCCCCGCCGAATACCCGGAGAAGATCGCCGAGGCCGAAAACATGGGCGCCGCCATGCGTCTGGTGCTCGAGCAGGACATCAAGCCAAGGGACATCATGACCAAGTCCGCCTTTGAAGATGCCATTGCGCTCACCATGGTCCTCGGCGGCAGCACCAATGCGGTTCTTCATCTGATTGCGGTCGCCCACTCGGTGGGGATCGATTTGCCCATCGACGAGTTCCAGCGCATCGCCGACGCCACACCCTTCCTCGCGGACCTCAAGCCATCGGGCAAGTACGTCATGGAGGACGTCCACTCGAAACTCGGTGGTATTCCGACCATCATCCAGTACTGCATCGAACAGGGACTCATGAAGGGTGAGCACATGACGGTGACGGGTAAGACGCTGGCCGAGAACGTGGACCGATGGACGCATCAGCGTGGCAAGCTTCCCGCTGGTCAGGATGTGCTTCGACCCGTCGACCGTCCGCTCAAGAGCACGGGTCACATCCGCATCCTCAAAGGAAACCTCGCCCCGGGTGGTGCGGTGGCCAAGATCACCGGTAAAGAGGGTCTCAGCTTCACCGGCAAGGCGAGGGTGTTCGATACCGAAGATGCCATGGTCGCCGCGGTCGAGAAGGGTGAGATCAAGAAGGGCGAGAAGACGGTTATCGTCTTGCGATACAAGGGACCAAAAGGTGGACCGGGCATGCCCGAGATGTTGAAGCCGACGAGTTTGATCATGGGTGCCGGGCTGGGGCAGGACGTGGCGTGTCTCACGGATGGAAGGTTCAGTGGAGGGAGTCACGGGTTTGTGATTGGACACGTGGTGCCCGAGGCGCAGGTGGGTGGGCCCATTGCGCTCGTCCAGGACGGGGATGTGATCAGCATCGATGCGGAGTCGAACAGTTTGGAGCTGGTCGGTGTGGATGAGAAGGAGTTGGAGAAGAGGAGGGCGGCGTGGAAGGCCTTGCCACTCAAGCCAAAGTCGGGTCATCTGCTCAAGTTCGTGCGCAACGTCGCCGACGCTTCGCACGGATGCATCACCGATATGTGATCTCGCTCTCAAAAGTATACACTCTCACTGGTAATCGATACACCTTCAGCTTGCATTGCATGTTCCCCAGTGTGCGTTCAGGGTTAGAATCGGAAGAACCCACTTCGGCGTTCGCTCGCCATCCTTCTCCTCACCATATTCGCCGCGTCACCACCCCATACCTCCACCGGGCTCCTCCCCTTCCCTAGCACCTCGCGTTCATGCACTTTCGCCTGGGCCCTCGAGAACAACGCCACATTTTGAAAGCTCAACGGCAACGTCGAATCCCACCTCTCCAACTGGGCCCCGCTCAAACTATCGAACGGCGGCACAACGCTTCGACCCCGGAAAACCTCCTCGAACAGATAGGCGATGTCGTTGACGCTAAACGGGATGTAGTGTCTCGGACCCTCTTGGGCGTCCTTCCTCGGTTGGGTGCCGGGGAGAGGATGACGCGATTCGGACACCGAGAGGTCGTGGAAGAGCTTCTCGTAGAGTTTGCGTCGACCTTTGAAGGCGAGTGGTTCCATCTTTTGTCCTCCAATTTCGCACAGGATGAAGGTGGCCACGGCAAGGCCGAACATGGCTGGAAGGGGGCCGAGGACGGGAAGGATTCGAACTCGAAAGTCTTCCAATGCGGCTAGCTCGTCCACGTTGCCCCGCGCGAACTCGGCGTCGTCCAAGGGAAGGAGTCGTGTGTCGGATTTCTCGGTAGAGTAGACGCACGGGATGAAGAACGTCGGTTCGGTCGTCTCCTCGGCGGGCGTGGTGGGGAGGGTAGGTTTGAACGAGGTGGAGCGTGAGAGGGCGGGCGAGGAGGGAGAGGGAGAGGGGGAGAGCTCTTCCATGTCCGAGACGCGGCGTCGCATCGTGTTGGTGATGGCGGTGCGTGGAGCGGTGTGCGCGGCAAGGTCGACAGCGGTAGCGTCGGACGCAGCGGCGCTGCTTTGCGATGTGCGGCGATCGAGGACGGGTGCGAGGGTGCTGGTGTCGGGTTCGGCAATGGCGCTCTCGTCCCCATCGAGCGCTTGGAAGCTGGTGTCTCCGTCCGGAAGGAGCGCAGCCATCTCGTCTGAAGGTGTGGTCATCGGTGTCGCGTACGCTCCTGAGCCAAAGGAGGACACGCTGCTCGCTCGTCGGCTGTGTCGTGGTGGCTGAGGCATTGATGAGGAAACAGCCCTGGAGCTGAGCCCGGATGCAGGTGCGTATGCGCTGTCGGTGCTGGAGGTGTTGAGCGAGGTGAGGTCGGAAGAGCTGCCGCTACGAGAAGCGAGCGGAGAGGGTGAAGACGATATCTTTGTGCGAAGGTTGCGGCTTGCACTCGTAGCGAGTGTGGGTGAGGAAGCCCCGCTGCTGTCCCCGCCCGCCGCTTTGCTCGAGAGTCCGTCGCTGGGGCTCGCCTTCATCGGTGTACGGTCGAGGTCCGCTTCAGCTGCTGGCACATCCAACTTCTGCTTGTCACCGCCCTTCTTGCCCTTGCCGAGGTTATTCGGACGCTGAGGCTTGCCCTTCGTCTGTGCCTTCTCGAGCTGTTCCGCCTCGCGCTTGGCCTTCTCCTCGACCTCCTTTGGCGGGATGGGCGGCAATCCTAGCGCCCGCAACCTTCTCCGCACGCTCCTCGCAAGCGGATCCTCCGACGTCACGCTGATGTCCGAAATCTGGATGCGACTCGGATCGCTCTTGGCTCCCGCGCCCATCGAGCTGATCACCTTGATCTTTCGCTCCGCGCAGAACCGCAGCAGATCCACCTTGGTATCGATATTGTCAATCGCATCGACGACATACGTTGGGTTACCACCCAGAAGTCTTTCCGCCTCATCGCCCTTGAACAGCTCTACCCATGCTTCGAGCTTGGCCCATGGAGCGATCTGCGCAAATTTCTCGGCGCAACACACCACTTTTGGTCGTCCAACATCCTCGAGCGTAGCACAGGCGTGGCGATTGAGCGACGAGAGCGACACCTGGTCAAAATCGATGAGGCGCAACTTGGAGATGCCGGAGCGAAGGAGCATGAGCGCTGCCCACGAGCCTACGCCTCCCGCACCGACGACGATGACGAACGAGTTGCGAATCGCCGTCATACCCTCTTCACCGAGAAAGCTGTAGTTGCGCGAGAGTTGTTCGCGGATCAAAGACTCGTCCCATTGCTCGACGGAGGGTTGACGCTTGCGGGCGAAAGGTACATTGCGGCCGGCGGTGTCGGCGCGAGATGGACCAGCGGGGGACTGTGGAAGACTGGATGAGAAGCTCGTCGCGTTGCGCAGATGCGATGTAGGCCGTAGCGAGTTGCTTTGTAGACCCGAGAGGTAGCGTGGCGTGCCTCCGTCGGTGGAGGAGGCCTCGTCGCGATCGAGATCAAAGCGCTGAAGGCGGTCCGCGCCTTGAGCGTTGGCTGACTTGGTGACAGTGTCAGAGAGGTCTTGACGCTTCTTCCGCCGTGTGATGCGTTGTGTTCCAAAGATGGCGGCAGCGGTGGCTATCGACGAGCCGACAGCGATCGAGCCCAGAAGCAGAGCATTCCTGCCATTGCTCGTCGACAGCGCAGATAGCCACGATGGAGAGGTGCTAGAGTCTGACATCTTGGCGATGTACGGACGGCTGCGGCCGTCTTTGGTGAAGCCAGTTGCGATGGAGTCGGTTGGAAAGAAGAATGTGATTTGGTTGAGGGATAGGAGCTCGCCGATGACATCTTGGTGTGATTCAAGTGGAGAAAAGCTCAATTTTCTAAAATCACATTTCTTTGGTTTTTCCGGTGCCACGCGACTCTGTTTCATACCAGAAGAAAAAAAGGCTTGTACGACGCTCACCCATCGACTCGGTGGTCTTGACAGGGTCCGTTCGACTCGAGCCTTCTTGCGCTTAGACTCATTTGCAAGCTTCAGGGCATGTATTGGCCTCAAATTTGCGGTTAAAAAAATCCATGTATTGGCCACAATCTTGCGGTAAAAATGAAAGAAACTGCCTACTACCCGGTTCGAACGAGTGATCTCGGCATGCCTGGATCAGAACACTGTTCGAGTGCCTATACAAGTGCCGCGCTGTACCACTTAGCCAAGCAGGCTGGCGTTTTTGAGCCTCACACTGTTGTGATTCATGACCTATACAAATGCCGCGCTGTACCACTTAGCCAAGCAGGCTGGCGTTTTTGAGCCTCACACTGTTGTGATTCATGTGCTCTCGAAGCAAATGCGATATTCGACCAGCAAAGTATGATGAGATGGTGTCAGTGAGACGGCATCTTCAGACCGAAAAAATCTTGGTGCAGAAAAGAACAAAAAGAAATACCGTGCGTGGCTGCCGGAATTTTTCTTTCGACTTTAACCGGACGCCGCGGGGTGTGACATGAAGGCGTAATTCAGATTCGTCACAACGCTTTGTGCGAGGACGGATAACCACCCGACTTTAACAGCATAACCCCGTGCGAGCTAGGTGTGAGCTGTCCAGCTAATCCGTTCAAATGGCAGGTGAGACTGCGCGAGGGCTGTCTATGCGTGTGGTGCTGCGAGTTGAAGTGCGGAACAAGACACTGCGCAGTGTCTGACGCTCACTCTACTGAAGCACTCGTGGCGATGCGGTCGGCCTTCTCTTGGTTCGCTGTCAGCCTTCAGACGAATCTATGACCACAAGCGTGGACTGCACGCCAGCTCAGCTGGCCGCGTCTCTGCATGGACCGGAACCGCTCACAGGACTCACAAAAGTTGCATAGCTGCGGTGTGCCAAGATTCGCATCAGCGCTGCGGACCGAGTTGGTCTCGCTCTCATCCAGATTCGTAGCAACGCTGTCTGCCTTGGGCAGGAACCCGTTCGACGCTCACTCTCGAAGATTCTTGTTTCAGTCAACGCTTTGTGACCGCGATCCGCACGATGTGGCTGTGTCGTCGTGCGCCTAGTCCCAGCCTTCGCGGGGAGTGGGCCCGCTGCGCAGGGAGCACTTTAGGTTTTGCACTTCATCTCGTTCCGTGTGTGGTGGGTCTCGTTTTTCTCCAGAACAAAGGGCTTCCGCAAGAGTGTCGGCTCCACCAAATCGCGTCTCTGTACGCAGTCACAGGCTCGCGGAGAAAGGGTGGATCAGCGCTGTGACACTCGCACTCAGAGCCTGACCCGCGTCTGTTCGAGACTGAGTCTGTCAATTCCGAGCTTGTCGGCCCTGCTTGCCAACGTCTCTATACATGTACTCATATCTCTCCTCCCGAGAGATACACACACCCTCCTCGCCATGCCGTCCTCCCTGCCACCCTTGATTGAGGCCTTGAGCATTGGCGCCACCTTTGGTGACTCTCCCGAGTCCTTGCAGCCTATGCTCGAGGTATTGAACCTTGGGCACCCTTTCGGCGCTTCGGCAGGAGCTGGCGTCGGTCTCGAGCAAGTTGTTGGCCAGCCGGACTCTCAGAGCCTCGGCAATCACACAGCCAGCGCTGCGTCAGCGACTCCCACCACCGCTACTCACATCAAGGCAGAGAAGGCAACCGAAGCTTCGGACATCGCTGGCGCTTCCATGCAAGCTATCGGATCAGACTCTCCTGCAAGCAGCCCCAGTATTGGCGCTTTTCTCGAACATCTCCACAGGCTTCTCGAGCGAACATCGTCCGTCTCGCCAGAAGACTTCTTTCGGGAACTCCAGCCGGCGTACGCCCGGCTCATTTCCAACGTTTTGAGCCGTTGCCAGATTCGCGAAGGCTTAATGTCCGACACAATTGGCGCTTCCGGTGAAAAGTTGCAGCTTGTTGCTCCTCCAGCAGATGTGCTGCCGAGCTACAAGACTTTTCTGTCGGATCTAATCGATGATTTGGAGGACGCGAAAAAGCTGTCAGAAGCCGAAGTCGAGCTTGCCAAGCTCCGTATCAGTATTCGGTATCTGGAGAGCTATCATGATCTCTTCGCTCCCGCTGATTACTCTCGCAGACGGTTGAATATCTCTGCGGAGCCTTGAGCCAAGGGGCTACCTCTCTTTTCTCCATTGTCGCACGTCATCCTTCGCATCATTCCTCAACGTACTCCCAGAATAATTCAATCAAAAGTTCACGTTCCGAGTAAGCTTTCGTGTACGAGCTGTCTCGGTTGTCTCAAGAACGCAGAGCGCAAGTGCAACGTCGAAGCAACAGAGCATGGTGAGCGAAACAATGGCGAAGGTTGACAGGACCCTTGATTGACACGAAGCGGAGGCGTACGCGATCTAGCTCTTCCACGCAATCTTGCTGGCCGAGCGTGCTTGAGGTATTACGCTGAGCCAGCTAACGCCGCGCTAGAGCGTGTGACTGAATCAGCGCTGAACCATTCAAGCTGAGCGCAACGGACGCTTGGAAGAGATGCCCATGCGGTCAAGTGGCCGGTCAGATGACCGCGAGCGCTTAATTTCGAAGCCGAGTAAGTCCGTCTTTTTGGCCGGCTGGTCCGGTCAACGGAAAGCTCGGCTCGGCTGTCACCGACTTTTTGCGGGGAATCGAACAAGGACACGCGACATCCCTGAGCACGGCCTGCCTTGATCCAGGTCCGTGCTCACTCAGACCTTCTCTCGCCACCACCACCGTCATCGCATCTTCGCTCGGCCCCTTTCCAGTAGCAGCGAACCGGATCTATCCACCATGTCCGCACCCACCACCATGAAGGCCGTTGTCATTCAGGGTCCCGAGCAGGTCGCCGTCCTCGAGCGACCCATCCCCAAAGCCGGCAAAGGCGAGGTCGTTGTCAAAGTCAGCCTCGCCGCTCTGTGCGGTTCCGATCTCCACATCTACCGTGGTCACCAGCCCGTGCCCAAATACGACTTTGTTCTCGGCCACGAATTTGTCGGCGAAGTCTACGAGATCGGCGAGGGCATCTCCAAATGGAAGAAAGGCGACAAGGTCGTTTCGCCCTTCACCATCTCCTGTGGCGACTGCTTCTTCTGCAACCGAAACCAGACGGGTCGTTGCACTCAATCCCGCGTTTTCGGCTCCGTTCCTCTCGACGGTGCTCAGGCCGAATACGTTCTTGTGCCGCTGGCGGACACGACGCTGTATCCGATCCCCGCCGAGGTGCCCGACGAGATCATGCTGCTCACCGCCGACATCTTCCCTACGGGCTACTTTGTTGCCAACAACGCGTACACGATGCTCAACGAGGCGGAGCGCAAGGACACGGTTGCTGTCGTGATCGGTTGTGGTCCTGTCGGCCTCTGTGCGGTCACTGCGGCATGTTCGTTCTTCAAGACGGTCTACGCTGTCGATTCTGTCCCCGAACGTCTCGCCGAAGCCAACAAGCACGGTGCAATCCCTCTCCACCTCACCGACGATGACCCGGTTCAAACCCTCAAAGACGCCACCGGCGGTCGCGGTGCCGATGTCGCCCTCGAAGTCGTCGGTGCCGGCCCGGCGTTGGATCTTGCCGTTAAGATCGTTCGCAACTTCGGCGTCATCTCCTCGTGCGGCATTCACACCCACACCGTCACCCTCCAAGGTCCCGATCTGTACAACAAGAATTTGCGCTTTCAGTTCGGCCGCTGCCCGGTTCGCGCCGTGTTCGATCCCGCCGTCAAACTGCTCAGTAAGCATCATGATTTGTTCGGGAGCTTTATTCAGCATACCAGACCGATTGAGGATGCTCCGGAGTATTATCGGTTGTTCAACGATAGGAAGGTGCTTAAGACTGTATTTAAGATGGAGCACAAGTGAGGTGACGGCATTGCAATGCGAATTGTTTTTAGCGTGTTGGGGTGAGGCGTGAATGACGACTGCGTGCTTTGGTGAGCGATCAACAGTCAGACACCTGTCCGCGCAGCCATCTCGACTCGATTGGGGCGTCGTAGATTCGGGATGCTTAGGAGAAGGTTCATGTTGCACTCGTGATCGACACAACAGCTACGTCGGGTCCACACACATCTGAGTTCAGAAATTGTCTTTGTAAGGCTTTGGTTTCAGGAACGTTTGATAGATCAGAGAGGTTATGGATGACGAGCGAGTCGAGGGGGTGACATCTGTCTTGCTTGTGGCCTCGGAGCGCACGTCTAGGCCAAATCAAGTCGGGCTGGCCTAAAGAGGGGCAAGAGTTGGAGAAACACTCGATCGAACTTCTGCAAGAGCCAAAAAGAGTCGGCTGCAAGCGCGATCCCGCTCTTGTCCTCGAGGAATTGGGAACGGGGAGTCGTAATGTTGTCAATGAGCTCCATCATTTCTACCACAGGCACGCACAGCTCTGTCCCCTCGATGATCCGACGTACGCGTTCGTCAGAATACCGTGGAGCGTGTGGAGATGCAAGGTGAGGGAAGCGATCGTAGAGCGTGTTTTGTGCAATGATGTATTCGATCACTGCTTCTTTGCAAGCCAGAACGATTTCTTCGGGATGGACGGCCAGCATCAAAGCTCGGCCAAAGTTGTGCGCAACCGAAGCGTAAAGCTGTAAATGCAACGCTACAGGGCCAACCCCGGCGGAGGTGGCGGAAGGAGAGTTCTCGTTGCTGGTAGCTTGGCCGGCGGCGATCGAGGAGGTCGTCAGACCAGACGCAGGCTCAGAAGGCGTTTGAGGCTCTGCAGAAGCTTCAGACGGGCTTCCAAGGCTGGAAACCTCCGTCTCCGGCCGCGATGAGGGCGTCATGATGAATTTGGCGGGTACACTGCTTGGAAGAAAAGAGATAGGCTTGGGACATTGAAGGTTTTGAAGGAGGTCGAGCAGGTGCGGGAACAGCCTTTACTGTATGTATCGCGGACAAACACACACACACAGGCAGCCGCAGATCACAACCCTGATTCGCTGTGCTTGAGCCAGACTGTGACTGCGCAAAAGACATCAGCTCTGGCGCGAACTTCTTCCCTTTGTTCTGACGGTCACATGAAGTGAGAGACCCACCACACGCGGAACGAGATGAAGTGCAAACCTTAACTCGCGCTGGCTGTGCGCTTGGCGCCAGGCGAACACAGTTTACCGTCGCGCGGCTCACAAAGTCGCCGAAATGAAATGACACCATGCGTCTCAAAGCACAACGCAGCGATCTTCTCATACAGTACTGACTCTCACAAACCAAGTTTGAAGCGATGATGTTTACGCAGAGAGGTGCTAGTGTACAGAGGCATCGTGGTGTAGTCGTCAGACCAGGTCCCAGCCTTCTTCGGCCGACTGCTTGGGAGGTCTTTTGGTAGGTCCACGTGCAGCATCGCTCGAGCTGACATTACCCACGCCCACCTCGACGCCATTAAAGATGACAGCACCGGGACCGACTTTGGCCGGAGAAGCCTTCGATATCGTCGCCGAAGCCAAAGATTCCGTCTTGGACGTACTGGACTTTGCTTTGGTAGCGTCGCGCCCGCGTTGACGTAGAAAGTCAAGCGATGGAGGTGGTTGATTGGCCGCCGCACCTCGGGTGTCTACGGCGACGCGCTGCTTCTGCACGCTACTGACGGCCTCGGAGCGCGAGCTTAGCTTACTCGTAGTCGTCCCGGCGTCCTTTGCGGTCGTTCGCAAGGCTTTCTGAGCGGAAGAAGGCTGCGACGACGGCTTGCGAATCAGCGAAGACGGATCCTTGATGTCGAGTACCGAGGCTGCTGCCTCGCCAGCATCGATGTAGCTTTGCTCGAGGATCGCGGGCTGCTTGCTCGATCTCGCTGTAATCTGACGGGCCGCATCCTTCTTTTCCGAGTCGTTCTTACTGAGCTTGGAGGTGCCACGCTTGTAGCTGTCGGCTGCTGCATTGTTGGGCTCCAAGATCTGGGCAAGCTGCTCGTAGTCTAAAGAGGGTAAGCTGAGATCTTGAATGCTCGACGGACGAATGTGATTTGCATGCGCGAGACGTCCTAGCTCGGATTGGCGCAATGTTCTGCTCAAGAGGTCGAGTGGGTTGGCTGCGGCTGCCACGAGGTCAAGCTTGACACCTTGCTTCGCGGCAAGGTAGGCAACGTTGTAGGAAAACATGACGAGAGCCGAGACAAAAGACTTGGCAGCTTGCTCCGACTTGGACTTCGAAGGCGTCCGCGCTTCTGATTCTGAACGACGGCTATGCTCAGCATCGGCGTCTGTGTCAGGTGAATCGGATCCCACTTTAGTGGGAGGAGCTGTCGTCGATGACAAGCCCCACGGCAGGTTGGCTCCGGCAGGCAAATGGATATACGACTCGATGGTGGACAATGTCGACGCTCCAAGGCCGTAGGTAGACTCTGCGAGATTGTTGAGCTTCGACTGCCTGTTTGCTGCTGCGGTGTGAGATGCGGTGAGGTGGGTATAGGCACTCGTCCCGATGTAGAGAGTCTTGGCGCTGGAGCCTCCGCCGCCGTCCCAGAGCGGATCGGGTCGGATAGCGAACCGACCCTTATGCTGCTCTAGGGAGAAGGGCAAAGCAACGCCGAGGTATCCGGCCACGAGTTGGAGTAGGTTGGCAGCACACGTGACCGCACCATTGACTGTTTCGCGCGGGTATCGTCGTGCCTCGCTAGGCAGAGGTAGTGGAAGAGACGCGACCGACCAATCGCTGGACGACGAAGGCGTTGCTGAGGAAGTGCCTTTGGACATGGTTTGTCGGACCGGAGGGCCCTTGTCTTGGATCGAGCCCCGAGCGCTGGGCGGTGAGGAGAGCAGATTGCTTTGACCTAGCCCAAACGCACCTGGGATATACCTTTCGGAGAGTCGGCTGATGCGCTGCACGACCGAGCTGCTGGCAGAGAGGTCCACCGGTGGACTTCGGTTCATCGCCGTCGCCGATCTGTTCGTAGTCGCGTCGGGAGATGACACGGAAAAGAGCTTGAAGGCTTGACGTGCAAGGGCGGCTCGGGCCGCAGCTAGCTCGGCAGAGACAGTCAGAGCCTCGTCCTGAAGAGCGCTGAGATGAAGTCGAGCGCGAGTGAGGCTTGCGCCCAGCTGATGATCATCCGGTTCGATTGAGACGATGGCGGCGCTGCCAAGATGATCCGGCTGGCGCTCGTAATGGGTGTAGACGTCCGTCTGAGTGGATGGAACGTCGTTGTGATCAGCTGTCGGACGAGCGAGCCAATGCGACTTTGCTGCGAGTCGAGAGCGTTGTGATGCGGAGCTGGACGCGGCTGCCGACGACCCCTCGAGACCGGACCAAGCTTTTGCAAGGTTCTGTTTGCGCAGAGCGAGTTGAGCTCTCTTCTCTTTGAGAGCCTGTTTGCCTTGGAGATGGGCATGCTGTGACTCGGATATGCATTGATGAATGGTCTGAACACGTGAGATGATGTCCGCTCGTTTGGCGCGCAGCTGTATCAAGGAATACACAAGCAGCCGGTCGTGTGATGCCTCGGAAGACGTCGATGGCTCGGCAGCGTGTGTGTCAAATGGATCCGGGAGCTCGTCTTCGTTGATGGTGTGTATTGGCAGAGACTGCGGGACGGACAAGGGTGCTGCGAAATCGTCGTTGCGATCAAAGAGAAGAGCGCTGGTAGAGGCTTTCGCTTTGTCCCGGGCGAGGGAGAGCCTTCGCATCTCAGTGTGGTGCGCTTCGATCCTGGAAGCGAGGCACGGATCGCAGTAGAAACGCGTATCGAGAAGATGGCAGTGGTGGCAGGCGTGCGCCTCATTTGTTGACGAGTCAGTTCGCGCGGCTGCCGCTGATGTTGATGGAGTGGTGGCGGCATGCTTGAGCTTCGCACGACTGGGAGTGGCCAGATGAGGTCCAAGAGTGGGGTCCGCACTGCTCCTGAGTCGAGATGAAGATGGAGCGCCGAGTGAGTGGCGCGAAGGAGGCTCGCTGGGCCGCAAAGGCTTGTATGAGGAAGTCGTTGTCATGATCTTGTGCTCAAGCCTCGATGGCGAAGGGACGAGTGGACGTTGACGATGAGGAAGAGCCTAGAGCAAGGCGCTGAAGATTGGAGTGTCGTTACATGATCTTGATAGCTGTATGGACAGCGCGTGGCTCGGTGCGGCTTGGTGATCAGACCAATGTTGATGCGACCTTGAAGTTCTCAGCTCATCGTGGCTGAGCAAGAAGAGGCGCGGTTGATGTGACAAGATGAGAGTGATCACGGTGGATGAGCCTGATGGCGGTATCACATCTTTCAAAGTGCTGAGTCGCAAGACGTGCAGGTTGGACCCTGAATCTCGGATTGGCCCACCACAAGGCTCAGACGCTTGTGTGATTTCAGAGAGGGCGCTATCGGGGTTCCAGCCGATGCGCGCGTTTCCTCCACAACCCAGCGTGGGCACTGAGCGTAGTCAGGAAGGTCAGCTCGTCCTGTCTGTGCACAATCACATACCGCAAAAACCGACAAGGTTCTCTCCTCTACTCCCACCACCGCCATTCTCGCATACCTCGTCTCTTCGCCAGAAGGACGACCACATACGACACAAGATGGCTGAGAACGCACCGATGGAGGTGGACACACCAAACACAAAGCAGCCTCGCTTCCAGGTCAAAAAGTGGAACGCCGTCTGTCTCTGGTCCTGGGACATTGTCGTCGACAACGTAAGTATTCTGCAGTTGCCTTCGAGCCATCTCACGCACAGACGATGCTCCATGTCATCTGAAGCGCCTTGCGTGACAGCACTGACCAAGGTCGTAACGATTGTGTACTGACTTCGAATCTCGTTTCCCTTGCCCTGTCTCGAATCGCCTTCATGACACAGTGCGCCATTTGCCGAAACCACATCATGGACCTCTGCATCGAGTGCCAGGCCAACCAGGGATCTGCCACCACAGAAGAATGCACCGTCGCATGGGGCCAATGCAATCACGCCTTCCACTTCCACTGCATCTCGCGATGGCTCAAGACCCGTCAAGTCTGCCCTCTCGATAACAGGGAATGGGAGCTCCAAAAGTATGTCCGCTCGCTGCTGTTGCGACGCTTCGTGCTTCTCAGCTTCTCAGCGACGAGTGTACTCATCGCTGACTCTTTTCCTTGTCTCTCTTGCCCCCTCTCATTGCTGCAACAGGTACGGTCGTTGAAGTGACCTCAATTGTTTGTCAAACCGCGGCCATCTCTGTACACTAGCATCTCGTTTCTCTTCAGCAACCCAGTCGTCCTTCTCAAAGTCCCAAATCATCCTCAGTGTCTCCGTTGTGGCCATCTTCTCTTCAGTCGGACCGCGATCTCATGCCCTAAACATCGTACCGAATGCACATAAGGGACAAACGAAATGGACCGCAGTCTAGGCCAAAAGTATCTTGCGTTCTACGTGCGTGGGCGTGTCACGTCGTCAAAGCCCAGTGATTCTCGTCAGACGAACAGCACCATCCTCTGAAGCAGAAGCCAGTATGGCATCATCCCCATCTTCCAGCACGGGCGGACGCCACGCGAGCTGGTTGATCTGCTCCTCTGCCAAATTGGGCACCTTGAGCGTCGTCGACCATTCTTCTCCCTCGCCTGCTTTGCGCTGAAGAATTTCCACCTCACCATCCTCCTTACCCACCGCAAGCACCGCATCCACCCCAAAAGCGATCGCCGTCACGGCCTCGTTAAACTTGATGGTCTGTAGCAGTGCAAACGGTCTCTCTCCCTCCTGACCTTTGGGCCAAAGTTCAAAGATCTTAACCGTCTTGTCTCTCGACGCTGTGGCGAATACGTACGGACGAGCGGGGTCGGTGGACCAAGCGCAGTCCCAGATGATTCGTGCGTGTGAACGCTCGCCCGTGAACGGCACGAAGCGCTCCCCTGCCACCTGCTCGTACATCCTCCAACTTCGATCTCGGGAGCAGGTGAGGAGGTAGCGCGAGTCGAGACTCCATTGAATCCGCGTGATGCTGAGGGAGTGACCTTCGAGCACGGCGCATTCTCGCCAGTTTTGAGCTCGATCGTGGATGCGCACGACGGCGTGGTCTTCGCTCGTCGCCTTGCAGCACGAGGCGACGAATCGGCCACCGGTGGTGGTTCGTCCTCCGTCGACAGGGTTGGGTGGATTGGCGCTCACCCAGAGAAGTTCGTAGCCGTGGCCGTAGAGCTTTTCGAGCTCAGGCCAGAGCGTCTCTACCGAGAGCTGCTCTTCCGAGGGTGGCTGGCGCAGGACCGCGGAGAGAGATTCTTTGGCCGAGCCGATAGGCTGTCCACTCGCAGAGGGCGCTTCCTGGATCGACGAGCCTTCGAACACGGCACGGTTCGACAGGCCGAGAGGCGGAACGCTAGCACCTACTGGACGCGAGGAGACGTTGCTCTCTTCTGCCTCAGCTTCTTGGTCGCTGGTTGTCAGACGGAGCTGATGAGAGACGCGATGCCTCTTTGCCGTCTCGAGTGCCTGGACGCGACGTGGACCTTGCTGGACCAGCCACTTGCGGATGGCGGTGCTACCCACCTTGCTCTCCGCCAACGCCTTGGCATCGCCCTTCAGATCGGTCTGACCTTCGCTACCAACCACGCCGATGACCCAGTCCTCCAGCGACGACAGCCCGTTCTCCTTTCTCTTGTTGTCGATGAACTCGGCGCCAGAGAGCGTCTCGTCCGTGACGACGAGAGCTTGCAGATCGGCTTCCGTGGCAGCCGGGCCAGCCACATCTTCCAGCTTGACCACCTGTTGGTCGATCGGGGTGAAGGGTAGGCGGATGAAGCTAATAAAAGCGTTCACGCAGGCGATGCGTTCGTCGATGGGCTCGAGCAGGTGCGCGTTCGACTTCTTGGTGAGCATCGCATCGTCCGTTACGCCGACAATGATTCGAGTGTCGGCGATGATGGATGCCATGGTGAGCAGGATCTTGTGTCCCACGTGCAGATGGTCGAAGGTGCCACCCAGCGCTACGACGGGATAGCACTTCAAGCCTTTGCCATCGTCTTGACCAACAGCTCCAGCGGCGTCTGACTGCTGGTGGCCCGAATCGATCTTGCGCACTGTGACGCCTAGCTCTTGCCATATCGATGTTGACTTCTGATCGATGCTGGCGTCTACCAGCACGTCGGCTTCCGGAGCGTGTAGTCGAAGGGCGACTTTCTCGAGCGACGTATCCGGGACGAGCAGGACGTTGATATCGGCGAGCATCAGACCGCGTTGCACAGCGACACTCCAGGCCTGCGCATAGAGCCACTTGAGGTAAAGCTCGATCTGCTTGAAGCTGAGTCCATCAAAGGGTCGCTGGAAGAGTGGTGACGACACGATGGCAGTGACAGAGTCGCTCTGCTCTTTGCAGCATTGCTCGACGGTCTGCTTGAACAGGTAGCCGTGCTTCTCAGCCGACTTGAGGAGACCGGAGTGAGGCTCCACCGAAAGATGGAGCAAGCTTTTGTTCCCAGCGGCAGGACGCGATGCTGCTCGCGATTCGCTTTCGGAGCCGAGCGTCGCGCAATGGAGACCATTCTTGCCCGCGGTGCCAACGAATCCACGAGGAGCAGCAAAGACGCGCAGGACCTTCTCGTCGGCGGCTGAAACAAAGTTGAGTCGATCGAGCCACGAGACGGAATGCAGATCGTAGCCATGTGATTGAGGACGGGCCACCTCGTGCCAGGTGGCTCTGCTTGCATCGAGTTGCTGTCCATTTCTCGAGAAAGGCTTGGCGTGAAGGCGAGTGGTTTGGTCGTCGGAACAGCTGAGAAGGTACTCTCCGCAAGGTTCCCATGCAACGGATTTGGCGGCAGCAAAGTGACCGGTGACAGGATCTGTGACTTGCCACTGAGGATTGGATGAGTTTGCTGCTTGCTGAGACAGCGTCCAAATGTGGGCTGAGCCTCCCCAGCCGTGCGCGACGACAGCAGAGACGGGAGCTTCCGCATCTATCGGGGCCTCTGGAGATCGAGAAGGTAGCCAGAGAGCGCCAAAGAAGCCAAGATTGCTCGCGCCTCCTACCTCACCGAAGCGCTGCGAAGGCATCCAGATGGACGAAGCAAGATGGTGCAATGTAGGACCTTTGGCGCGCCGCGCGCCTCCTGTAGAGAGAAGGGCGGCGTCAAAAGCAGGGAAGGGAGAATGCGAGGCTGCTTCCGACAGCTGTCCAGAAGGTGTCCACAAGATGAGACTGTTGTCGGCGGAGGACGAGAGAAGTGCAGCCGGCTGTTCGAGGTTTTCACCTCCAGCGGAAACAGCGGGATGCCATCGCACGCCGGTGACCCAATTGTCGTGCCCGACAAGCATTGCGTCAAAGGTGATGGACCAGGATTGCTGGGAGCCATCCGCTCGTTCGACACAGAACGGATGTGCGCGAGTCGAAATCTCGCCTGCTTTGGAGCTGCGATCCGACTCGATCTTGGAGACCATCTGCTCGAAGTCGTCGTCGGTTTTGGAAGAGGATGGGGATTGCTGAGATGAAGGGCTTGCATCTTTATCGGCGGGAGAGATCTTCCATAGCCTGACACTCGCGTCTTGAGATCCACTAGCAAGTAGGATACTTTGGTTGCGATGAACGTCGTCGGTCTCAACGAAGGTATTGCAGAGGTCGAGCGATTTGACCCAGTCCTCGTGTCCTTCTAGAGAGAGCTTGTGCTGGAACTTGAGCCTGTGTGCACCAGCCTGCGCTGCTGATGATGGACTGGAAGCGAAGATGTCGATCTTGTTTGTGGTGGTCGCGAGTGCCATAAGCAGCTGGGTCGAAGTGGTGTTGGGCAGCGGCAAGAGAGAAAGGTCGAGTGGGAATCGACCTTTGAGATCGATCGACTGCGCCAATGTCGGTGGTTGCGAAAGGTCATTTGACAGCGTCCATACTTTGAGTACGCCATCGGAAGCACCCGAGACGATGATTGAGGGTAGCTCGGATGCTGACTGCGCAGATCGAATGACGCCGAGAGCAGATACGGAGCCGTTGTGCGCTGCTTTGATGCATTGCACCTGTGTCCATTGCGTGTTCTCTTGCAAAGCCCACACGCCTATCGATCCGTCGGCTGATCCAGCGACGATGCATGGCTTGTCGGATACGACAGTCAGATTTGCGAGCTTGAGTGAGGTGATCGCTTTGGAGAAGCCGGTGGCTAGCAGCTGAGTCACTCCAGCCGAAGAAGCGTGACCAGGTTGATCCCAGATGGCGATCGACTTGTTGGCAGCATAGGCGATGATGCTGTGCGGCGCGTTGGCCCAGTCGGCAATGTGATTGCAGCGGTTGAACGCCGCGGAGATGTACGAGCTCGATGCCTGCGGTGCCATCCTGTAAGACTTTGGTTGGGTTGCCGTCGATGTAATGGGGTCAGGTCGCGAGGATGAGCAAAAGATGGCTTGAGCGACCAACCAAAAATTCGGCGAAAGGCAGACAGGGTCCAAGCTGAACAAGCGTCCAACCTCCACTCAAGGCCCAGCTGTCAACGACCACATCAAGACACCATGTCACAGCATCCCCGTCCATGACCATGGCGAGCAAGCGCACAAAGACGCAACTATCTATCATATCACCTACTGGCTACTCGACCTCGACCTGCGGCTACTGCACCACGCCTGGCTCCGGAGAACGAAGCGCTACCAAGTCCAGCAAGTCGTACGGCATCTGGGCTCATCGTCTTTCGCCCTATCACTACCAGAACCTCATCGACCAGGGATGGAGACGATCAGGCGACTACCTCTACAAGCCGGATCTCTTGAGGACTTGCTGCGCACAGATCCCGATACGTCTCGATGCTGCTGACTTCAAGCCCAAGAAAGCGCACAAACGTGCATTGACCAACCTGCTCTTCCGCGTCCGTCAGACCAAGCCCAAGCCGGCAAAGTGGAAAGGGAGATGGAGCAAAGGGAGAGACTGGGACGTAGAAGGTCGTTGGAACGAGATTGTGCCATCGTCTGCGGCTCAGAGCACGTCCTCGAGCTCCTCGCCGACGTGGGCAGAAAGCGTGGCAGGACCCATCACTCGCCAGCTCCAGGTGCGCCTTGCTCTGGCGATCTCTTCCGACGAAAAGTATCAGCTCTTTCGCAAATACCAGGGCAAGGTTCACGGCGAAGCTGAAGAAAAGATCAGCAGCGAGCAAGGTTTCCTTCGCTTCCTGGTTGACACGAGCCTCGCATTAACCTGGCCGTCAACCGGTCTGCCGCTGACACCCTCGCAAGAGACGCATTGGCGAGCCAGGAGCCTGGATCCGGCGGATTTGCCAGAGGAGCTGCCCTACGGCTGTTACCATCAAGAGTACCGCTTGGATGACAAGCTCATTGCTGTCGGCGTGCTCGATGTTTTGCCCAACTGCGTCAGCAGTGTCTACGTCTTCTACGATCCCGAATACAACGACTGGCAGCTGGGCAAGGTTTCGGCGCTGCAAGAGATTGCACTCACCAAGCGCCTAGGTCGGCTCAAAGCCATGCACGAGATCACTCGATATTACATGGGCTTCTACATCCACACGTGCCAAAAGATGAAGTACAAGGCAGAGTACCGCCCAAGTCAGCTGCTCGACTGTAGCGACAATACCTGGCACGATCTGGCCGACGTAGCTTCGGATCTCGATACAAGACGCTACTTTGCTTGGTCGCAAGATGGTCAGCAGCAGTCGAAGGACAAGACAGAGGGCGATAGTCAAGAGCTTGCGCAGAGCGATGAGGAGGATGAAAAGGGGATTCGGGTGCCAACGCAGCCGAAGCCTCCACCAGGGATGCTCAGTGCCACTGCGATTCTGGATGCTCTCCAAACGACACTGCGAGGAGCAGATCCGCGCGAGTTGCAAGCCGAATTAGACTTGTTGCAGCACGCCATGGTGCTCGAAGCGCAGAAGCAGTCCGAAGGCATCAAGCCACTTCTGGTAAGTCCTCGCGTTTAGGTTCTCCAAGCGCAGAGTCAGACGAAGCTGACAGCAACGTTAGTGCTTGCATTGGCGCTTTACAGATGTCCGATCTCTTTCGCAACTATATGCAAGGCGAAGGTCAAGGGGTCGGTCATGACGATCCCGAGTTCGTGCAGGTGGTCGAGTGTATCGCCGCCCTCGCGAGCCCCGAGCTGGTGGCCGAGATGGTCCTTTTCATGTAAGAGTGTCGATGAGATTAAAAGAGCCCATCGGGGGGCGGTTGGCGCGAATCTGCTTGGAACACGTCAATGATTGTACGATGGCTGTGGTTTGATTGAGGGCAAGGATGAGAAGTTAGGTGGACATGGCTTGTGGTGCATTGCTCTGCTTGTCCAGCTCGGCTCTGAAGCGTGTCGGAGAGAGAACGGAATGTCAAAGGTCGGTGAAGGGTCAGCGTCAACTGAGACTCTCTGACGAGAGAGAGAGGATGGCTGCAACTCACCTCAATGCCTTGCTAAAGTCGTCCTCGACCGTGTCGTCATCCCATGAATCTTGCCACAGGTGGTCGCCAGTGCTGGCGGACGAAGCGCCCATGGTGAGACCGACGCCAGCTCCAGGTGCATTCGAAGTGCCTGCGGTCAAGTGCGAGAGATCGGTCTCTGCGTCGTTCCAGTCTGAGGCAGCGAGAAAGGAAAGAAAAGTAGGCAAGAGTCAGTGTTGGTATGCTGCGGCAAAGCGGTCGACCGGGAAGAAAGACGTACCCTGCTCGTCGAACTCTTCAAACTCATCATCCTCGTCGAGAGCACCGAGCGAAGGAAGCGTCGACTTGTTGTCCTCGGTGGGATTTGTCGACTGCGCCTCTGGCTTGGTGGTCTGTGAGTTGGAGCTAGTAGCCGACATTTCGTGTGGAGATGTCGAGGTGGGAGGGGAGGCAGGACAAAGCGGTGGATCTGAACGAGCTACGCAGCATATGCTATCCTAGAATGTGGTCGTGCGGTACGAGATTGTGGCAGCTGGGTGCTGTGCGTGGAGCTGAGGATGGTTGCGAGGCTGGGTGGTTCAGATGGAAGGAAGAGTGCAAAGAGTCGACAAGGTGTTGCTTCGACACGCAAAGTGGAGTCGATGCGGCGACATCGTGCACGCGCGTCCCGATCACATTTTCCCAAAATGTTAGAGCAAAAAAGAAGTCACCGTGCAAAAATAGCTCAAGCGTCGAGATGGTCCGTGAACGCGAAGAAAGCAGACTCACACGCGAGACACACTCTGCCTCGTCTTTGCAGAGACATCCCCATGGTCCGCAATTGACTTTGCCTCTACGTAAAATGATCAGTCGTCTGAATCGTCCTGACACGAGCTTGATCAGACGACGACGAGTGATGGCTGCTTCGAGGGTGGTAGACAACCGGCTTGCAATGCCGAGCAGTCAGTCAGGCTCTGTTGCTTCCACGTCGCTGTCACTGTCAGAAGAGACGCGTTGCGGTGCCAATTTGTATTCTCTCGTTCAAAATCACAGGCTGGACGGCTGTCGAAATTGTATTTTGTTTTTCGAATCCGAAATGAGAGAGAGAGCGCTCCAGCCTGTGGCCCATTGGATGAGAAGGCTGTCTGCCTGGCTGGCTGGCTGGCTGGCACACAGACCGACGCTTCCAACGCATCAGCCTGGCATGGCTGGGCCTTGACGTGCCTGTCTGTGTGCTTCGAGTCGAGCGAGCAACGACGCACGCCCCAGCCACGCCAACTCCAGCTTCTTAGTCCTTCGTGTCCTGTCATCATCACATTCGCATCTCTTCCTTTCGTTTCGTCTCTCTCAGCTGCCTTGTTCACCTCACACACACACACGGCACTTCATCGGCTGACTTGGCGTTGCGCTCGGAGCTTGACTTCGTTTCGACGATCGACATCACCCTCGCCAGCTGGATCATCTCTCACTCTTGTTTGCGATTCGGCTTCGTCGTCATCCTTCTCGCGCTGGGCCGCATCCCGTCCATCAAGCACCCCCGCTCTAGCCCTCGAGCAGGTTTGTGCTTCTCACCAGCGTCCCATCATGAAGGCGTCTATCAACCGCACAGCCACCTTTGCGTGGTCTCCCGCTACCTACGAGTCCGAGTCGCCCCTCATTGCAACAGGTACCGTCGCCGGTGCTCTGGACGAGTCCTTCAGCAATGAGAGCGTTCTCGAGCTATGGCAGCCCTCTTACACCGCCTCCGCCTCCGTCTCAGCAGATGCAAAGCCGCTAGGCAGCATCTCGACCAGCGCACGGTTCAACCGCCTCGCTTGGGGCTATGCCAACCCTACGCGTCCAAAAGGTCTCCTCGCAGCCGGTCTCGAGAATGGTGAGCTCGGCATCTGGGACGCTGAAAAGATCCTTGCCGATTCGTCCGAGTCCGATGCCCAGGTCATCAAGAACACCACACATACCGGACCCGTCCGTGGTCTCGACTTCAACCCACTCCAGCCCAACCTCCTCTCCAGTGGTGCTGTCGCGGGCGAGATCTTCATTTGGGATCTCAACGCCCCTGCTAAGCCCTACTCTCCCGGTGCACGCTCTCAAAAGCTCGACGAGATCACCTCATTGGCCTGGAATTGCCAGGTGCCTCACGTCCTCGCCACCTCTTCCAGCAGCGGATACACGGTCGTTTGGGATCTCAGAGGAAAGCGCGAAGTCGTCGCGCTTCAGTATGGTGGTGGTGCTGGCACGGCGGGTGGCTCGGTGGGTTTCAATGCCGGTGGCGCCCTCGCTGCCGGTGGTCGTCGCGGTATGAGCGCTGTGGCTTGGCATCCCGATCACCCAACTCGACTCGTCACCGCCAGCGAAGACGACTCGAGCCCCGTCATCATGCTGTGGGACCTCAAGAACTCTCGCGCACCTGAAAAAATCATGACCGGCCATGACAAGGGTGTTCTCTCGCTCTCTTGGTGCAAGCAGGATGCAGACCTCCTTCTTTCGTGTGGCAAGGACAACCGTTCCATCCTCTGGAACCCGCAGTCGTGCGAGATTGTCGGCGAGCTCCCTTCCAGCTCCAACTGGTCCTTCGAGGTGCAATGGTCTCCACGCAATCCCGCCATGCTCGCCACCGCCAGCTTCGACGGCAAGATCGGCGTCCACTCGCTTCAGAGCACCAACGCTCCCGAAACCGAGGTCGCGGCTACACAACAAGCTGCCGACGGTTCCGACTTCTTCAACCAGACCGTTACGGGCGACGCCACCTCCAAAGGCTTGTCCCTCAAACAACCTCCAAAGTGGCTGCGCCGACCCGTGTCGGCTGTCTTTGGTTTTGGTGGTCAGCTCGTCTCGAGCGGCGGCCCTTCTTCGAAGCCCTTCACTCCGACTGTCCACCTTCGCAACCTCGTCTCCGAACCTTCCATTGTCGATAGGGCCACCAAATTGCAACAGGCGCTCGATGGTCAGAGCCTCGCCGAGTTCTGCGCCGAGCGCAGCCAGGACTCCTCCACCCGGCCGGACGACATCGCCAACTGGAAGGCGCTGCAGACGTTGTTCCGTGCTGACTCGCGCGACGAGCTCGTCGCCTTGCTCGGCTTCTCCAAGGAGGATGTGGCCCAACGAGTGTCGCAGTCCATCGCCGCTTTCAAGTCCAACGGTGCCAGCACTTCCGACGCAGAGGACGCTTCGGTCACAAAGGCGATCGACGAACCCGAGCCCTCCCAGCCCGCCACCTCCGCTGAAGCGGCCGCAGAGTCGCAAGCCGCTGCCGAGCCCGCCGAAGCGACGGCGGAAGAAGCTGCCGTCGTCGAGCCAGCGCTGGCGGTCGAAGCAAAGGACGCCGACGAGCCCAGTCTGTTCGGCGAAGATGCTGCAGGTGCTGCAGGAAACAACGACGCCTCGGACTTCTTTAGCCAGCTCTCCGCTGATCAGCCTTCTTCAGCCATCCGATCCGCACTCCCCGGCCACCTGCTCTCGGAATCACAGGCCCCCGTCCAAGCGTCCGCCGCCGCCACTGCCGGCTCGCCTGGGCCTTCCTCGGTCGCGAGCGAGAACATCCGCTCGTCCACATTCAAGATCTACCCTTCGGAGGAATCCGAAGGCGACAAGCTCATCACGCGCGCCCTCGTGCTCGGCGACTTTGAAAGCGCCGTCTCGGTCTGCATCAACAGCGACCGATTCGCCGACGCTTTCCTTCTCGCGGTACGCGGCGGCGAAGAGCTCCTCGCCAAAGCGCAAAAGGCGTACTTCCAGAAGCGCACCGCCCAGCTTCCGTACCTTCGCCTCTTCCAGAGCATCGTCTCGGACGACCTCAGCGATGTGGTCCAGAACGCCGACCTGAGCGAGTGGCAGGAAATCTTTGTCGTCCTCTGCACCTTTGCCAAGCAGGACGAGTTCAGCAACCTCACCGAGCAACTCGGTCAGCGCCTCGAGTTCCAGTACACTGTCGCACGCAACTCGGACACAGCGCAGGCCAAGGAGCACCGTAAGGATGCGGTGCTTTGCTACTTGGCTGCGGGCAAGCTCGAAAAGGTGGCCGGCATGTGGATCGACGAGATGAAGGAGGAAGAGCTCGCGCTTCGATCCAGCAGCAGCAAGGGCGCCGATGCTTCTTCCGAAGGCACTCTCTACTCCGCCCGCGCCGAAGCTTTGCAGACATTCATGGAGAAGATCACCGTCTTCCAGAGCGCTGTTGGCTACGTGGATGTCGACCTTCAGCAACCCACACAGGACTCGATCATCGCAGAGACTGGCGCGCGCTCTTACAAGCTAGCTCCGCTTTACGACCGCATTCACGAGTACGTGGAGCTCCTCGCCGACCAGGGTCTCATCTCGCCTGCGCTCAGGTTCGCCAACCAGACGCCTTCAGACTACCGACCCCAAAGCTCTGCCGACCAGGGTGCGAACGGCTCCCTCACGGCCACCGCTCTCAAGCAGCGCTTGTTGAAGGCCGAGACCGCGCGTCCCAAGGATGAGGCTGCTGCTGTCACTGCTTCGAACACGAACGGGTTCCCAGCTGCCACTGCCTCGACGTCTGCGTACGCTGCTGCTCCCGTCTCCAACGGATACACCCCTTACGACCCCTACGGTCAGTCGGCGCCGTCGGTCATTCCATCTATCCCAACGGTCCCGTCGTTGCCTGCGGTGCCGACCTACCAGGACCCGTACGCGGCGGCAGCGCCTGCTGTACCCGCTGCTGCTGCCCCCTCTACTCAGCCGGCAACCCAGTCGCGATATGCACCGGCCGTGCCTGCCCCTGTGCCCACCGCCATTCAGCCAGAGCCGGTGCAGCAGCAGAACAACGCTTACGGCGGCGGGTACGGCGCTCAGAGCTACCAGTCGGCCTACCAGCCCGCTCAGCCCATGATCCCAGGCCCACCAAGCTTTGGCGGTCCGTCGTACCAGCAACAACAGCAGCAGCAGCAACTTCCGCCACCACCGCCTCTCAAGCGAGACCAGTCCGGCTGGAACGACGTTCCTGAGGGTCTTGCGGCCCCTAAGCGCACTCCGAGTGCCATGGCGCAGCAAAAGCCCAACTCTGCGATCACCTCGCCGTTCCCGAACGCTCCCGCACAGGCTCCCTCGCAGTACGGTGGCGCTCCCGGTGCGCCTCCTGCGGGGCCTCCTCGCGGCGCTACGCCATCGCGCGGCATGATGAGCCCTCCGCCGCAAGGACCCCCTTCGGGACCAGGTCTCGCTCAGCAGCGCGTCGGACCGCCTGGCGTCCGACCTCCTCCTCCTTCGGGCCCCATGCAGGGCCAGGCACGTCCTATGCAGCAGCAGCAGCCCTACGGCAACCAGGCTCCCGGTCAGCCAGGGCAAGGCGCTCCATCTGCTAGGCCCTATGCTCGCCCTCCAGCGGGCCCTGGTGCTCCCTACGGCAACGGAATGCAGCAGCAGCAACAACCGCCTCAGCAGCAACAGCAGCAGTACGGTGCACCGCCAGCAGGTCCTGGTGCGGGTGCTCTTCGACCTCCGGGTCAAGCACCACCGGGTGGTCCTGGTCTCGCCGGGCCGCCTGGCATGCCGCAGCGTTCAGCGACGCCAGGCGGAGGAGCTGGTGCGCCCCCTCGCAGCGCCACACCCGGCGCTCGCAACGCATCGCAGATGAAGTACCCTCCTGGAGACCGCTCTCACATCCCGGAAAACCAGCGAGCCATCCAGCACGCTCTGCAGCGCGAGGTGGCGCGTCTCAAGCAGACGGCTCCTCCGGCTCAAAAGAGGATGGTGGACGACACGGAGCGCCGCATCAACCTGCTGCTCGACCACCTCAACTGCGGCACTATCGACGCCAAGACCATTGCGGGCCTCATGCAGATCGTGGGCGCCATCGAGGCGAGAAACAAGCCGGCGGCGTTGAACATTCATCTGCAGCTGGTGACGAGCAGCTCGGGCGATGTAGCTGCCGGACTGGTGGGTGTCAAGATGATCATCTCGCGTCTTTGAGCGCGCGCAGTTCATGGATAGATGGGCGACTCGTCTTGTCCGACGTTGAGGGACAATTGTAAATATCTTTATTGCTCTCCATACCAAATGTTTCTTGACATCGGGTGGAACGTGGTGTGAATTGAGAGAGAAGGACAGCCATCGAAGGTGGTGGATGAGCAAGAGAGGCATGCTGAGAGCGTGTCAGGTCGGCGAATCTTGAAGAGTGAGAACGGGAGCCACACGAAGCGAGCGAGACGAAAGGGTTTGGACCCTGAATTCATCCCAGAATCCCGTCCAGCTTTTGTCGAGCTCAGAGACGGACTGAACCACGAACAGCAGCGGCATCGCGTCTCGCTCTCAAATGAGGTCGCCGCCGACTGCACCCTGCCCCTCAGCTTTAAGTTTAAAATTGAATTCTGCACAGAGACTGGGCTGCTGCGAGCAAAGTTTTTGGTCGGCCCGAGACGGATCCATATCTGAGCCGCCATTGTCCAGTGGCATACGTACTCACTGCAATTGTCAAGGTGACTTGGAGCGACACGGAATGGGACAAGGTGTGATCATTGATTCAAAGTTGACATTGCTTGGCGATGAATGAGAGAGAGAGACGGCGAGCAAGAGAGTGAGAAAGAGATGCAGATAGCAAGCATCGTCGGGACCGTCGATGGGCCCTGCGCCTGCTGCTAGTGCTGCTGCCCGGCGGATCCTCCACCCTCAACTTTGCTTGCTCGCCCGCTCTGACCTGCTTCATCGCTGTCACCTCTGCTCCATCCTCCTTCCCTTTCCCAGGCGCCATCTCCCGCAAGCCTGCCCCTCCCCAAACCCTGACGATCATAACAGGCCGACTTCAGCGCATCATGCGGTACACGATCCCCTGCGCCGCTTAAGTCCCGAATCGTCCCCCACTTCTCGCATCGATCAGCTAGCTGGCTGGCTGACCTCCGAATCAAACACAAGCACCCCCTTTCCACGGCTCTCTTTCTCCAACCATGTCGATACCTTCCAGCCCGCCGCCCAAACAGGTGCGTGTCGCCATCGTCGGATCGGGTCTTACCGGTCTCGTGGCCACCTACCTCCTCACAGCATCTTCCAACAACAACGCTCCCAACATCACCGTCGACATCTTCGAACGAGCTTCCACGCTCGGAATGGACAGTGCGAGCATTTCGGTTCCCCTGCCTCTTTCATCCAGCGCATCGCATCCCGTCCCTGTCGGTCTCGATGAGGAGGGGAATCGCTCGCGCAAGCGTCTCAAGGTGCAACCGCCGCCTGACAGCGTGTTGCGCATCGACGTACCCATGCGTGCCTTCACGGGCGGGTACTATCCCCAACTCCTTGCGCTCTACCGACATTTGGGGGTCCAGACCAAGAAGACCAACTTTACCTACTCGTTCGCTTCGCTCCCCTCCCCATCGCCCTCGAAAGCATCGCACATCACGCCTTCGCCCAACATCCTCTACAACGGCGCCAACGGCTTTCGTGGCCTCAGCCTGCCCTTCTCCCTTCAACCGCCACGCCCGATCCAAGTGCGCAGCGTGCTCGAGCAGGTCAGCCGTGTTCGAGAGTACTTTGGATCGGTATTGATGCTCGCCGTGGGTTACCTGCAGCTGCTTATTCTTGCGCTCTGGCATCATCATCTGGGTCATACGTGCGATGTGACGCATCCGATCCGCGAGCATACGCTGCGCGATCTGGTCCGCGACCCCTTCCCTCGGCGCTCCTCCGCTTCGAAAGGTCGTTCGTACACACTGCGATCCCGGGTAGGCCACTGGGTTGAGCGAGGCGCGGAAGACATCTTGCGCCGCTGGGTCGGATTGGATGAGGGATTCGCACACCAAACGCTCACACCCCTGTTTAGCGCCGTGATGACCTCGACGCTCGACAGCGTCTGGTCGTGTCCTGCGTCCGAAGTGCTCGATTATATCGCACTGACGTTGGGCAAAGATCATTTTGTTGTCAAGGACGGGGTGCGGACGGTGGTGGCCAAGTTGCTACGGTATGTGGATGCAGAGTCATCCTCACAGCGAGACGAGAGGAGCGCGGGGAGCAAGGTGTGGACAAATGCTGAGGTGAGGTGTGTGCATCGACGGGAGGGGGGATCGTGGGTGGAGGTGGTTTATCACGATGGATCTAGCTCGCGGTCGAGCCCGGCAGGCAGTGCAGATGCAGAAGGTATGTCCCGCCAAACATCCAGTTCATCCGACCGCACCCTCTGCAGCGAGGTGGAGGAACACGGTCCCTTCGACCACATCATCTTTGCCACGCAGGCCAACCAGACGGCGCACTTTTTGCGGCAGTACATCGACAGTCTCACCCCCGACGCTGAAGCGGAAAGGCTACGTGGCGTGGTCGACGTGCTGGAGCGGTTCAAGTACGAAAAGAGCCTGGTGGTGAATCATACGGATCGAAGGATGTTACCGCGCCACGAAGGGGACTGGAGGGATTTGAACCTCGTTTCGCCCACCCACCACCGTGGGGAGGAGGAGGACGAATGGGAGTCCGATAATGCATCCAACGACACGCTCGTTTCGAGTGACGGGTATACGATGGCCACCCACATCCTCACCCTCCCACCCACAGCAAGGGAACTGCTCATCATGCAAACCACCAACCCTCTCCCCTCGCTTCAGCCGGATCCAGCCCACGTGCTGTCCAGGTCGACCTTCGAGCGCGCCGTGATCGATGTCGAAGCGCATGTTGCGCGGCAGGGGCTCTTCACCCATTCGCCAAAGGGTGCTGTCCAGACTGCCGGCGGACGACGTCTCGCCCTCGGCCCGCTGCAGGCTGGTGCGGGGGGAGTGTGGGTGTGCGGCAGCTGGGCCGTGGGCATCCCGCTATTGGAAGGGTGCGTTGTCTCAGCACAATTGGTTGCGGAAGAGATTCTCACGTTGGAAGGTGCCACTATTCCTGCCTACGCCCGCTGGTAAACCCTCACACACGTACAACTCACACCCGAGGACGATGTATAAAAACTTTTGCAGCACTATATACACTCTCCGCCCCTTCGTCTTACTTGGCAGCAATGAACTCCCTCACATAGTCAGCAAAGCTGACCATGCAGATGGTCTGCCAAATACCCAGGAATACACGCGGGGTGACACCCCTGTAAAGCCCCTTGATGCCGTTCTCCTTGTAGATGTAGGCGAACGTGTTTCCGATGGTCAACTTTTCTGGTCTGTTGCTGCCGGGAGTCGCTTTGGCCATGGACTGCATCTCTACACGGATGACCTCGATGGGTTGGTTCCAGGTGGCGAGGGCGCCGCCGATAGAAGAACAAGCGATTCGTTCGGCCGCATTGAGCTTGTCGGACTCCTTCTTACCGCTGAGGCTGCGAATGGGGGTTTCGGCGAGACGAGCAAAACCCATTCGAGAACCCCAGTTGGTGCACTGACGAACGGCGACGGCGTTGACACCCTTGTTGATACCGGCCAGACCTTCACGGCGGTAGATGTCGCCAAAGACGGCCCAGGTGGAAGGGGGCTTGATTCCCGCTTCGGCCTGCTTGTGACGCGTGATCTCGGCGGTCTTCATGCAGGTGCAGAAGCCCATGGTCGCATAGGCTTGGGCGATACCACCGGTCATACCGCCCAACAGACCTGCTGTGCCGGAGGAAAAGCCGGACGTCTTGGCTACTTTTTCGACCTCGGCAGCCGTGAAGAGGAGAACGGCGCCTTTGGTAGAGGCTTCGATCCACGCCCATGGGATGAGACCCTGGTAGAAACCGAGGATGCCGCCGCGAGACGAGACGGTCTTGAGGGCTTGCATCATCGTCTGCTGACGGTTGGACGCCATTTGTGTCTTTACCACCTCGAGCGGCTGGCCGAGGGTTGTGACCTAGTGAGAAAGCAAGAGAAAGAGAGTCAGCATGCAGAATCGACTGGAGATCAAGGAGAGAACGGGGTGCCAAACCTACCTCGACGATGTTCATGATGGACCCAACCGCAATGTTGGACCACGAGAAGCCCTTTTGTTGCGGCGCCATGGTGTTCTACGTTTTGCTATTCGGCGGGTGGTTCTTCGGAATGGTGTTGCAGCGTATATGCGTCTACGGCGATGCAGCGTAGTCTTGAGCAGCAGGAGTGTCACGAGAGTGAGGAGTGGATGGTATCGTCGCTCGTCCTTGAAGCGATTATAGACGGAGGTGGTGGTGAAGGCAAGAAGAAATGGCAAAGGGTTTCCCCTTTGGCCCTTTGCTGGACCCACACAGGCGTGCACGGGCGATTCTTCTCGATGTTGCTTTTGGGGTTGAGGATTGCGCCCAAAAACGCGTCTGGGAAAGGATCTCTCCGCTTTTCGAACAGAGCAGCTTTGACCCGTCGCACCCTGCATACAGCGCGACAGAGCCCCGATCTGCTAGTTGGCAAAAACTGCCGATTCAGTCCAATTTGCAGCTTTACGCCGTTTGATAGAGAGACCAACACTTGGAACACGCTGCGTGGCCCACATCGATTTTGGGTTTGGCTGGAAGCCGACTCTTTCCTCACCGGCTGAAGCTTGGCCTACACAGACATCCTTTGGCTGTGCCTCACGGGCTTGAACCAGCGGCGTCTCGAGGCCGTCTGACGTTCGTACCCGGTCGTGTAAGCATACGGATGATCTTACTGGAGTGATGACCGAGTCGGTGAGACTTTTGGGCCCGTCCACCATGCACCTCCGCGCCCAGATGGAAGCGATAATCGATTCTCGTCCTGGCCAGCTCAAAAAACTCTGGCGGTCGAATTTCTCGGCGTGTTAGGCCTTTGAGCTCTGAAGGGTGTTAGACCCTCATATTGGGCGACTGTAACGCTCGCGCTTCGTGCTCGTCAGCCTGGGCCGGCTCGGTTCTTCATCCCGCACGCTCGACCCTCTTACGCCAAGCGGACACGTCCCCTCATCCAAACCAATGCTACTGCACACTACCACAGCTTGGCGCAGACGCTATGTTCTCGAAATCACGTCCGTCTTTGCCCACTTATCTGTTGAGTCCACACGGAGAATTCCTCTCGGAGAATTTCACCCGCTCGCTTGGACACGTCAAAGAACGGCGACTTTTGTTATCAGAGGTGAGCTCTAATTTAGCCTCCTTCTTGGCATTCCAAGTGTCACCACCACAGCAGAGCAGAGCGGGTTTTGTTTGCAAGCCGTCGGCAAATCCTCGCTTGCCGCTTGCAGGGTGACGCATTTATTGAGGTTTGCCTTTGTTGGACTGATAGAGAGAGATGTACCGGAGAGTCGGGGCGGTGATTGCGTGTCATCGGGTGCATGGACGTGGGCGCGCCGAGCTACAGAGGTGGGCTAGGTTCACAGCCATGCGTCGCTAGTCGGCCTTGTCCTGCCTTCTAAGGTTGCATTAGGCTCAATCGGTTCAGCCTTGGCTTTGTTGGTCGCACGCCAACCTGCTATCAGACGCTAGCTCGATCGACCCTAAGCTTGCAGGGAGCAGGCAAGGCAACGCGGACAGCTGGCAACGTCGCAGGCCCCGGCGTGGGAGTGCAAAGTCAATCGCAGAGCATGAGGCTGATAACGATCAACCGAGGGCGGTTTCATGTGAGAAATGGCCGGCCCGCTCCAACCCTGCCAAGAATCCAAACGCTCTGTCCGCTAGCGCCAACCGCAATAGGAGCTCATCTAGGGCTTGGCAAGTAGGCTTTTGGACAGATTGATACCGGATGCGAAAAGGTGTCATGCCTGCGGTTCGTGGCGTGGCACAGAGGGCCGGTGGAATGCGTTCCGTCGCTACTACGTAGAGCTCGAGGGTGTGAGATGAGGAGTACATATATCCACTCCTATCGAAGGCAGGGATGGTGATGCCCCAAGCACAGGTCCGCAGCCTGCTCTTGCCACATTCTGCGATCGACACCACATAGCAACACCATCACTACCGCCACAACCATGCCATCACAATCATCAGCCCCGTCCTGGCGAACGGCCTTTCTCGCGCGCCTCGAGCACCTCACCTTTGCCTGGTTCACATCCTCCATGTCGCTCGGAGGAATCGCCAACCTCCTCCTCTCCCGCATCATTGACTCCACCCCGCTCTTCTACGTCGGTACCACACTCTACCTTCTCAACCTCCTCTACATCCTCATCCTCGTCTCGCTGCAGATTGCACGCTTCACCCTCACACGCGCCTCGCTGCGGTGGACGCTGTCGCATCCGCTCGAATGCTGTTTCGTGCCGACGGTGCTGCTTGCGTGTGCGACTTCGATCAACGGTCTCGCGCTCATCCTTGGTGACCTCCCCGCTCGTGGATGGGAGATGGTCCTTCGCGTCCTCTTCTGGGCCTACTTCACCTCGAGCCTCTTGATCAGCCTTGTGTGCTACACGTCGCTTTTCAGCCGGGGGGAGCAGAGCCTGCATCACATGTCTCCAGCATGGGTGTTACCCATCTTCCCGCTCATGCTGTGTGGCTCCGTCGCCGCGGTGGTGGTCCCCACCCAAACCCCCACCGCAGCGCTAGCGATGGCCATCGGCGGTCTCACCTGTCAAGGTCTCGGCTTTGGTGTATCGTGCATGATGTATGCGGTGCTCCTGCTGCGGTTGATGACCGAGGGGTGGCCACCGGCAAAAGCACGACCTGGGCTTTTTATGAATTGCGGTCCACCGGCGTTCACCATCCTCTGCCTGCTCGGGCTCAACAGCGAAGCGGGTCGGATTCTGCCGGTGTCGGGGACGCAGTGGGGTCCATTGGCAGGGCAGATGCTCGCAGTGATGGCCACAGTTACATCGATAGCGCTCTGGATGCTGTCTGCTTGGTTCTACCTGCTGACCCTCGCATCTTTGGTGCAGCTGGTGTGGGATCGGGAGGAGAGAGCCAGGATGGAGTTCATGCTTGCTTGGTGGGCAAGCGTGTTTCCGAACACCGGATTTGCGATGGCAACGAACGAGCTGGGCACCGTGCTAGGGAGCAGCGCGGTGAGGGGCGTGGCCAAGGGGATGGTCGTCTGGCTGCTGATAGTGTTCATCGGGGTGGCGGTGATGCATGTCAGAGCGGTGGTGAGGAGGGAGATCATGGTGGAGGGCAAGGACGAGGATCGGGTGATCGATACCATGTTCCATCGCGATCTCACGGGGGATGTCGAGAGTGGGAGGACGGAAAAGCGGCCTGAGCATGCACAGCGAGAGAAAGAGGAGGAAGAAGCACACAGCCCCTACTCAAGCCCTCCGACGTACCCCTCGACTCCTGCGGTGTCGGTAAGGAAACTCGACATGAAGGAGCCGGAAGGACAGGACGATATCACGGCTGAGGATTCATCGCCGTCGTCATCGACAGCACACACCCCCTGGTCGTCGCAGCTGCGAATGACTCCGCTCGCCCCGTCATCGTCTCATTGAACACCTGCATCAGTTGGTTCGATTTTGTTCATAGCATTGTACAGTACACCGCCTTCATCAAGGTTCTAGCACACGTTCCTTTCAGTCATTGCATAGTCTTCGCATCCAGTAGCATATTCTCTCATTCAATCACATCAAAGCATTCATCGTTCACATTGGCGTCCTTGGTCTCCGTTTCCGAAGCGGCGTGAGCATCGAACGGGATGCTTCATCGTGCATCAATGCTTGGCTTGCGCCTCTGGATGCTGCATGCATCCCGTCGGAACCTGAAAGGGGCGTGATGTTTGTTCCGCAGCGAGAACAATGGGGAGAAAGGGCTTTTTCATGCATGCTGCCAAAATCGAAAGGCACCCGACAAGCCGGAAAACTTTAAGATCCAAGCCTTCCTTTGTTGCCAAAGCAGGGCGTGAGATGCCATTGGTCTAGGGGCAGCAGCGGTAAGGTGACAGCTCGAGCGTGCATGAGCGGTTCTGTGAAAGATCCAAGGCGCATCGTGCGTGCATAGGTGCAGAGTTCGCGAGCGTGATTCGTGATTGACGTTTGAGAACAAAGACCTTATGGAAGATGCTTGTTTCAGTGTTGCTCTGATGCTATCACGTGTGAACAGAATGGGCGAACCTCGGTAGATGCATCACAATGGAGGGTTGTCATCCGCCGAGATGTTCCTGACGTCTCAAGCCATCGAGACCATTCACGTTGCCCTTCTTCTTGCTCTCTACCCGGCTCGTCACGCCGGACGCAACAACGCCGGAACATTTGATCCTGCTGCCTATGCACAAAGCATCACCGACCTATCTTCTTCCACTCTCGACCCACGCGCCTGCATACAATGAAAAAAGGGGCAGCCGCCAACTCGCCAAATGGGGCGACATGAACACGCGATCCCTGCCATTGTCGTCGTCGAGATCGGATGGCGCTTGCGCTACTACTGCGCAAGTCAGCATCCGTCGGAAGCAAGCGTAGCAACCCACCAACGTTGACAGGATGGAATGAGACTGCAACGTCATCGATCGAAGCGAGCAACAGGCACCGGGCCGAAATCAATGTCGGTAGCCGACTCAGAGCCGGTCATGAGCGCTTGTTTACCAAGTGTCTGCTGTTGGCTGCACCAAGTACATCTGCAACATCTATCAGGCACAGCCCCAGGGTCGAACTTGATATTGACAAATGACAGGCCAAACTCGGAAGCACTCGACTGGAGGATGCGAGTGGGACGGTGTTTGCATCCGACGACACGTCTCACCGAGTTGCCGGGCCGAGCACAAGGCGGAATCATTGAATCTCAATGACATCGACCAGGCTTCATCACCGGACTTGGCCGGGTGGAGCCGCGGGTCAACACAGAGGATCCACTCGTTGGGCAGCCAAGGTGGCTTCCCCCCACAATCGTCCTAGCGTGGCGCCTCTATTTCCCGCGGAACGAGCAGCCGTCTTCATCTGCAGCGGTGTGGTCGGTGGACTCGGAACCCACCACAGCGGCATCAAGATCGTAAAGCTTCCAACGTCAGCGGCGATGAGAAGGGGACAGGAACATGTCAGAACCCTACTCACGCGAGCCGCAAAGAGCCGCTTCCATGCATCTCGAGCAGCGGGCGACGGCGTTGAGAGGAGCTCGGAATCGGCAGAGGCGCTTGGCTATGCACACGTGATGCACGCTAAAGCTTCGCAATGGCGTCGCTATGTATAGAAGAAGGAGCAACAGCGAATGACACACTCGCTTCCCATTGAATGACAGAGCAAACTCGATAGCCGCTCGGATCGCTGCCAAACGCCTTGTTCCTTTGAGCTCATGCAGAAAGAATTTGCGCACGTCAAATGTCAACAATGCGCTAAGCTGAGACATCATTTTGGCTCGTGATCGTATCTACGATCGTGCTTTTGATAGGTCCTTTCTCGCCAGCTGAACTATGTCACCGCATGAGTCAAAGGGGGCCCGGACGCACCCTCACCCACCACAACGGCAAGCTTGCGTATCGAGTGCAGTGCAAACAACATCCAGCAGCGAACGGCGCATCAATGGGCCGTACCTTTGCATCGGAACTGCGAGAGGCTTTTGAGTGGGTTCATTTCATTTCGTCCCCATCTCCCCTCAAGCTCTCGACACCTCATTTCATCTTGGTTCAGCTGCACTGCCCTCTCCCGCCTTAGATGAATCCTAACCACCGTCGAATGACGATTTCATTTGCGTGGTAGAATCGAGTGCGTGCGTGCGTGACCATTGGCTCCTCCTTCCTCTGAGGGCTCGGACTTGGTCGGCTCTTCAAGCTCAAACGTTCGTCTATGTCTCTCTCTCTGTGTGTGTATGTGTGGGTGTGAATGCGGTCCGCCGGCTCCTTTCGTTCAGAGATATCACACTTCTATGGAAGCACATTGGGTTTGGCTACGCCTTCTCTCCAGGGTCTTGAGTCTCGTTCTGGGCATTCATCTCAAGAGGCTTTCCTCGTCCATCTTCCTTTACCACCTTCTCTTTGCGACATCATCTACGCGTACACAGCTCGTCTGACCTTTTCCACTCTTGACGCTCGGATCGCTGTAGTCTCACCCTCTCTGCATAGCCGCACATTGCATCTCTGTCCCTTGCTCGGACCGCTTCATTCCGACGGAAGCCAGCTCTGCCACCATCGCTTCCCTTCGACGCTCGGATCGCCTCACATCGCCAGCTCAGGCCGATTTTTCTCACGGCCCCTAACCTTCATCATCATCATCATCATCATCATCCTCATCACCGCTGCGAGCCGTCATCACGCCTGTTGTTGCTCATTAGACCATCAGACAATAGGTAGACGCACATCGGTGGTGCTTGCGCTCGCCGCGCCGTTCATTCCCATTGTCCGAATCAGCTTGGACCTCGCCAGCGTTGACAGCGTGCTTCATACCTCGCGCAGCCAGTTGCCGCTCAGCTCGTCATTTTGGTTGAGCTTATTAGCTGACGAGAGCAAGAGATCCATTTCAACGCTCTATTCATTTCACTACGCTCCGGCATTGCGGACGGCTGTCATCCTCATCGGCGGCATCAGTGCAGGGCGTCGACCCACAAGGCAGGGTCCAATCCGTCGGAATTCACAAGAAGAGCTGAGCGGTGCAACGGTCATTCCTTGTGATCGTCGACACGAGCCCACACAGCTGTGCTGAGCACGATAGCATATAAGTCGTCTCTGAGCCAGCCTCAAGGTGTGTCCCCGTCCTTCGACATCACAACCGTTTGGCCAACAGCCGCTTTTGCTAGTAAGACAGCTTCGACCATGGCGCAGATGCCTTCTCCAGCCGCAGCAGCTCGTCTGCCCCACCTCCACCGTCTTTCCGTCTCGCCTCCCCACCATCCTTCTCACTTTCATCACCAGCACTCTCCTCGACATCACCCATACCACCACCGAGATCACCGATCATCCGCCTCACCACCACACATGCTCAACGCACCCACCATGTCGCACCCTCACACCCTCACCTCCACTTCTTCGTCATCTACAGCGCTCGCGCCCTCCGACAAGGAAGACGAAATCAGCCTCTCGCTCAGCGACGAGGACATGCTCCTGTGCGACGATGGCGAGGACGACGATGGCTTCTCTGACGCTGGTACGAGCGGTGGTGGCAAAGGCGATGGCGACCGCCATGCAAACGGACGCAGTCGACGCTTGCTCTCATCGGAGCAGTCCAAGGTGCTGTACAAGATCCTTGGCAAGGTGAGTCGATTCTTGCCCGTACGAGCCGATGGTCGCATTGGACCCAGTGGACGGCGTCTTTCCACCTGATTCTTGCTTTGGCGTAGTGAAGCTCATTTGTCACCTTCATCGAAAGAGGGAAGCCAGGAGACGGTTGGTGCATTTCAACCTTTCATCCGGACTTCATATCGGGGCGGTGGTACATGAAGGCTTTAGTCGCCGTGTGGCGGCAGACAGGGTGTCCGTCCCATCGGATGCCCACGCCACTCGTCGCCGTCGACTTGTCCGCTCCTGCGCAATGACACGGCCCTCGTTCCAGTCACCGGAGTAGCGGGCCCACTGACACATTCTCTTGGCATTCGCACCTCTCATCTCGTTGATCGCAGACGCATTTTCCGTCCACACAGCTTCGCGAAGCCGCAGCGTCCCAGCTCGGCGTTGCGCCCCGCAAGGTCCAGGTACGCATTTGCCCCTTCACGTTGTCCTCGGCGTTGAAACTTTTCTGACCTATCCTCTTTCCCCGGCCCGCTCGCACAGGTGTGGTTCCAGAACCGTCGTCAAGTAGGCAAGAAGCGCATGATGGAAGCCGTCTCGGCGTTCCTCTCCACCACCTCCTCGGCCACGATCTCTCTCGACATGCTGCAAGACCATCTCAGGCAGACGGGCAAGGGGCGTTTCTCACCCAACGAAGACGAGCGCACACGCGCATGGAGGCGACACACGATCCGCCTGGCGCTCAACCCGTCTGCACAAGAGGAGGAGGAACGCAAGGCTGCCTGCGGGAGCAGCAACTTTCACCATCACCGTCAACGGTCGTTCGACGCACGACCGATGCAGCACCCAGAGTACTACTCGCAGCCTCGTCCACACCAAGACCCGTACGCCGGCGGGGAGAGGGAGAGCCGGTACGCCTGGGACTCATCGCGTCGACCCCTGGGTGCGAGCTTGCGCATCAACGTGCCGCCTCCACCGCGCCCCGAATCGTCGTCTGCCGCGACCCCAACGTACACGGGTCCAGGGAGCGCGAGGCATCTCGAAACGCTGTCGCTTCATCGGCCGCTCCTACCGCCATTCACACCCGCAGCCGTACGCACCACCCTCGTTCCACCTGCCATCTCCAGCCAGAAGGAAAGCCTCTCCCTCCCACCTCAGCAACGCTACCACTCTCACTCACGGGACTTCTTCCCAACACAGTTGCGCCGGGATCGGAGCGCGACGCTCGCCCTGCCTCCTCCCACCTGGGAGCGGGAAGGCGGAATGCGAGAGGTACGCAACACGCTTACGGCGGAATGGCATGCGAAACAACGTGCGCTTCTGTCCCGGCCCTACGTTGCGCAACCGTCGAGCTCGGCAGCGCGCGATGAGGAGCGGCCGATGTATCACCCGGAGCCGCGATCCCATGTGCGCAACCGTTCGTCGACCGATGCCCTTTTGCGCTTGCCGCCTCCCCCGGTGCCTTTCGCGAGAAGGGAGCGGTTTTCGCCATACGCCTTTCGCCCGCCCCACACGCGGCCAGTGCAAGCAAGTGAAGACCTCTTCTCTGCACGCAGAGCGAGAAGTATGACCACCCCACACCACCCCGCATCGCCACCGAGAGACACGTCCACCGCGCGGGAGGAGAGCAGAAGCACCACCCCCACACCCACAGCGTGCGTCTCACCCAGGACGCCACACCGGCCCACGCAGGCGTTGCACGAGAGAAAGTGGAGCCCCATGGACGTGCGTAGTCTCACCAGCGCCGTGGTGAGGTCTCCGGCGGAGAGGTGAGCTTGTAGCACGGGTTTCGCAGTGTGTTCAGGCTCGTAGGTCAATTACGGGTGCTGGAGGCGAGGTGCAATTGGGCGAACGTCACTCTCTTTCCTTTCTGATCCGTGGTCTGTGTCGAGGTGCAACGCTTGTATGTGCTGATGTACGCAGAGGGATTGCGCTGGTGCGCTGAACCAGCAATGGTCAATCGTGTCACTCGCTCGCCGCTACTCTGATACCCTGGGTGTCCGTCGCTCAACACGCCTTGCAGCAGTCCAGCCGTCAATGCGAATGTTTCGTCATTGGATTACCGTTGAGTGTTCCCAGCCATCACATCATGCGTCCATCGCTCTGGCTCGTCTTAGGCTCTTTTCAGGCGTTAGAACATCTCATCTTCGTCCTGTGCGACCTGTGCAAAGCGCAAAGCATCAAAGAACGGTCAGCTACCCCTCTCTCATCTATCTTCCATGAGGGTGTTACTTACCTCCTGACCCTCGGGAACCTCGAACCCTTCCTCGGTAGAATACAGAATCGCCTGGATCTGCTTGAGACTCTCCTGCTCCTCGGTACCCACATGCAGCCCTTCGGGATCCTCCTCCTCGGACGGCACGGGGAACTGCTCGCTGAGCAAGGTGAGTCGTTCCTGCACCAGAATCTCAATGTCGCGCAGCTTGGCAAAGTAGAAGTCCCTTTCCTTTTCGAGGCTGTCGACTGAGATCTTCATCTCGTCCATTTGGGAGGTGAGGGCTGCGATGGTGGCGTTTGGCACTGCTGCTGGGGCGGCTCGAGGGGCGGCTGCTGCTGCTGGACGTCGGGCGGTTGCTGCGGGGGCGGGTCTGGCTGATGCCGCGGGTCTAGCTCTCGCCGTCGGCGCTACGCCTCTCGCAGCTCCCACCGCCACACTACCCACCAACGGAGGCGGTGCAGCTCCCACCCCACCCCTCCTCCCCTCCGCATCATACGCCTCCCCCGAAAAGTTCTGATCCCAATACCGCTTCAACCACTGCAAGAATTCCAAATTGTCCTGCATCTTGCACCTCACCAGCCTGTCCACCTCAATCGGCTTGTCGATGCGATTCCGCTTAAACGCCTCCTGCAGCACCTTGAAGTTGTTCAGGTACTCGTAATCGTGTTTGGCATCGAACTTGATTTTGGCGAGGGGGACGTTGTAGTAGATGGAGTCGATGATTTGGGCGTAAGCGGCACCGGAACCGCACTGCTCGATGCGGGTGTACGAGAAACCGAGCAGCTCGTTGAGCCAGTGGATGAGCTCGGTGCGTGATTCACCCATCGTGATTGTCGTTATGCGGAAATGGTGGTGAAGAAGAGGGGGAAGGGTTGGAAGGTTTGAGAGAAGGGCTTGTGCGCAAGTGTTGCGCGTGTGTTGGTGTTGATCTTTTTTTTGCGAGGAAATTGTCGGCCGAAACACGCGCAGAGACGCGTCCCGCAAGACCAACACAAAGGCCTCGCCTGGACTGTCACTCTGCGCCGCGCAGCCTGCTCAAACTCATCCAGCTGCACCCGTCGTCATACATGCCCTCCTTCCTGACCAGGCATCGCAGCTCACAGATGACAGGCTCGACCATCATGTCAAGCAGGACGTTCGCACTTTCACTCTCGCAAAAAGGCAGGGTGTGCAGCAGGCCGAGCAGACAATGCCACCGCGCTTCATGTGACGATCCCACAAGTGAGGCCGGGCTAACTTTGTTTCGCCAAATGAAGTCTATCGCTACACAATGAGTGGGTCAATGTCGCATGTGTGTTGATCTCTGAACAGGTGTGCGATGGATGTGTGCTCCTCACCATCACTCAAGCGACACGACGAGCAGCATCCACTATGACGCTGAGTAGGATCTCCCTCACGCTGATCAGCATTGCGTATGGGCTGGTGGTCTTGATCGGCGTGACCGTCAACACGCTGCGCAGGGGTCGTGCTCATGATCGCTCTTTCAGCATCAGACGCGTTGTTGGGCAGATGGACGACTGGCAACGACTGCAATTGGGCATATCGACACTGGACATCGTCCTGCTTCTGGCTGTCTCTCCGCTGTTCTTCATCCATGCGCATCGGTATCTAGCAGAACGGGAGGCAATCTGGGACATAGCCTTCGGATCTCCGCTGCAGACGTTTGCGATGACGATAGCCTTACTGGTCCGACCGGCGACGTTCGCCGCCCTTGCTACGAGACTCCATATCAAGGGGCGATCTCGCGAGGCCTTCCGAGTCGCATGTGCAGCGATAATAGGGGTCTTCGTGCTCAAGATAGGCGTGGTCACTGCGCTGAGCTGCTGGTTTCTTCGTCATGACTCGGCTACCTGTGCGGCGGTCTCCGCCGTCAGATACATCGTCATCGCGACGCAGATCGCTTTCGCCCTCCTTGCGACCACGGCCCTCGTTCTCTATACAAAGACATCCAGGTCGGCTACCAGCGTTCACCCTCCGTACCATCGCAGTCGCCCATCCACCGTATCAGCTCGCGCACCGAGCCTGTCGCTCCTCATTCACACCCAGCCGGACCCTTGGACTCGTCACATAAATCTCGACCTCCGCGCACAACCGGATTTCGGTCCGACCCCTCACCCCGTTCAACAGCGGAATCATACGACACCACTCGATTACGCTTCTCAGATAATGCAAGGCATGGTCGGCGACACGAGGGGTTCGGGCAGAACGACCGACGCAGCGACGACGACCCTAGGCTACGGCTCGGCCGTGGCTAGCTCCACCAACCCGTACCAAGTTGGGTCGACGTACTCGCTCACCTCTGGCCAAGCCTTGGGGGGCTATCCTCCTTCCAACCGGATCGACCACGATACATCGAGTGGAGGACAGATATCCGAACTTCGAGATTCGACGAGCAAGTCCTCGGCTCCTGCTACGACCGTGTCGACGAGAACCCCCTCTCCTGGGTGGTTCGATGTTACGAACCGCTCGCAATCAGACCTGGGTCGGTCCGCTACGGAGGACCGGCTGATCCGACCCTCGCCAATTCAGCATGATCCTTCGCCCCGTGACAGAGCAACGCATTGGATTCGGTTCGTCACTTGCCTCGTATCGATCTGGTGCCCGGTTGCGCTCTGTACGCGAGCTCTGCTGGTCACTCCGGAGAACGGGCAGGCGTTCAGCCTGTTGGCCTCTTTCGTCGTTCCCTCGTCGGTGCTGCTGCTGCAGGAACTCGCGTTGGGCTGCCTCAAGCTGACGCGACGTGCTCAAAGGCGAAGTGCGGACTCCACACCAGCGATCGAATCACAGAACGATCGTGAGAACGACGCAAGCTCCATACGCCTGTCAACCGCGTCGTCGGCCGTCGTCATCCACACCACTCCTGACAGCCCATCCTCCATCCACAGCCATCGACCTCCCTTTCGCTCGCGATCCTGCCCACTTCCTTCCGACTTCAACGGTTACAGAGACTCGTTCCTCGACGACGCAGGAAGAGGAGGCTTGCTGGCGAAACAGCGCTCGAGTCTGTCCTCGGCAAAAAGCGTGCCGTATCTGCGGCAGCACTGGGCGGCGGGCAAGGTGAACGGCGATCGTGTCGTCGCTCCTCGCAGCAGCTTTGTGCGCGGGCTCAATCTCGTTTTGAATCCGAGACCCAAGTTGGAGGTTCTGCCGAGTTACCATACCATGCAGATGCGAGAGGAGGATGAGGGGCGCCGCGGGTCGCATCTTCCTCCCGCTGTGGCGTCCGCAGTCGTTCGAGGACTGCTTGAGGTACCGCGACAGGGTTGTTTGACGGCAGACAGCGAGCGGACGTGCTTCATGCAGGATCGATCGGAGGACAGAGGGCACTCTTCCGCGTCCATGGCGAGTCTGCATATGCCAGAGAACGAACCTACCAGTGTGGACCTGTCCTACCAGCATTCGGATCGCTCGAGGCAACCAGTGGCCGAACTTTCTACCGACATCCCTCACATGAACGACAGCCCAGGAAGCGCGAGACACGACCCCGACCTGTCCCCCATCAACGAGAACATCGGCCTACAATCGCCAACGAAGCGTCAGCCTATCCCGACCGCTGCATTTCACAGCACCCCCATTGGAGCAGGCTCGACAGCATCGCCGAGCTTTTCCCACCAAGACTCGCACGAGACCAGCCATGGCGCATCGAGACTGTTTTCCGAGATCATGGAGATGGTGCGTTGGGATGGCAGAGCCGCCAGTCATCGTAGCGGTTTTGTGCCAGGTCTCAGGCGTACGCCGCCGCGAGGATATGCTTCTATTGATGGCGGGCGGGACACCAGCATGTCCCGTTCGGGGGATGAGGGCGAGACGATCATCATTCATTCCATCGAATCGAGTGGGGAGTATCCAGCGGCTGGCTCGCGCAATTCTGGCTTGCACGGCATAGCGCAAACGTCGGTGGCCTCGTCGAACCATGTGACCGCTGATCCTCTCGATCAGAAACAAAGGGTGGAAGTGGGCTGTTCAAGCCAGGACCACGGCTCCCAAAGCTGTCACGCGCAGCTAGGGCATGCTCGCTCAGGATCCGCCTCGAGTATGCTCTCCTTTTCAAGCATCTCGTCTCGCTTTCGCGCCCTCGGTCGGGCAACCTCTCTAGGCGCTAGCACTCCCTCCGCATCTCCCAAGGCAGACAATTCCCCTCGCGTCAGAAGATTGCGTAGCAGAACCTTCGCCTCGGCCTTCGGCATCGAATTGAACCTGCTTCGTCGAAACGGCTCTCGGACGTCGAAAGTGGACAGCTCACCTTCGACCAGCTCGGGAGGCTGTGCTTCCTCTCTGATGGACCTGAGCTTTTCGCCTTCTCCCGCGCAATCTCGTCAAGCTGCGGGTCGTCAAGGTGATCTGCAGGGCACACCGTCGCCAGCGGCGATCTTGGACTACAGCGCTGAGAGGGGCGACAAAGGGCGGCACAGAAGGGAGCTGTCACGCGCCGATTCGATCTTGGACCTGCTCGACGCCGAACACAGCGACAAGATCGAGGAGATGCTGGAGACTGTCGATGTCGCACCGGATGCACTTCACATGGACGAGCGCAGCGATGCAGCAGGCAGGCTGATGGAAGAGGCGAACCCCGATCAGCACCGTCATCGATCAGAGCTACTCGAACGACGGGCGGAAGAGAGCGATCTGTGCGATGTCGATCTGGGCGACGTCACCGTCAACGATGTCTGGCATCAATTTTCCGAGCCGGACTGCAAGCTCGACGATGGTTCGCTGTCGACTTCAAGTATCCGACACGAGGCCAGCGATCCGGCGGAGGACGACATGTTCGATTTGATGGGTTGCGATCCAAGGAGAATGGTTGCGCGAGCGCCCTTTCTGGACACGGTGGAGGAAGAGTCGGAAGAAGGCTTCCACCGTGACGACAAGAATGGCAGTCAGCAGTGCCAGTTGTCTATAACGCCGGCGCTGGATGAGTCCGCAGGAGAAGCATCTGCCCAAACAGAAGTCAACGGCGATGTCTTTCACGAGCTATCCTCGTGCTCCAACTCGACCAGCGGCAGTAAGAGCTTGTCGACTGCACAGATCAAGTCTCAGACGCCAGTGCATTCGGGCCAGCAAGCTGGACAAAGTCGGACCACCGAATTGCTGATGGAGTACGAGGCCATGTTCCCGCACAAGACACTGTCGCAGATCGAGGAAGTGACGGAGGCGATCAGCACCTTACGGACGTCCGGAACGCGGACGAGCAGTGCAGCAAGCAACAGCAAGATGGGTCTCGAAGAGGCTGGAAGTGCAACGGTCTCGAAGTCGATCCATCTGGGGTTGCCGCTTTCTCTCAGCTGTCGGCAGGGGGCGCATGTCGGAGACGAGCTTCTGGACGAGTCGACAATGTCGGCAGGCACAGTTGAACTCGACGACCAGAGTCCAAAGCAGCAGTCGGAAGGTAGGCAGCTACCGTTTGTCACGCCTCGAAGTCGGACGAGGTGTCGAGCTGCAGCTGGACGCAGAGCAGACCATCCCGACGAGACAGCAGATCAAGACGGCCGAGCCCTTCCAAGAGAGCCAGCGGACTGCATGCCATCGCCTGGCTCGACGGGCGTGCGACTGAGTCAGCTAGGCATGGATCGCGGTATCTGGATGCAGTCGCCGCTTCGACTTCCGCTCGACGACTCTACAGCCAGTGCAGCTGGCCAAGATGCGGGAAAGGAGGATAGCTTCCAGATGGTCGAGGCCTCGCCTAGAGACGGAGGTGGACGAGGTGCCAGGCTGAGGAGGAGTCTGACGCTGACGAAGGGCAAGATGAGCTTGGACTCCAAAGCTTCGATGAGGAAGCTGGTGCGTCTCGAACATCGCGACTCGCCCAAGCGCGAATACAGGAATCGGCTGGCAAAGGGGTCGCCCAGCAAGCCGTTCACTAGTGGCTTGGCACCCAGCAGCCCAGCTCGCAGTACCGTCAATCCAGTCGAAAAGAGACTGTCGCACAAGCCCGTTAAGAAGCGGCGCAAGAGCCGATTGAAAGGCGTAGCCGTGATGGTGGGACGACATCAATTCACGGTGGTGGACGAGGACGATTCGCTCGTCCAACGCTTCGGTGCTGCTCAGATCAACACTTCCTAGCTGCTCTCGACGGAAAATCTTGTGATCCTTCGACAAGAGAACTTGCCTCCGCCATCTTTGTGTTACCAAGTGTGATGATGAAGGACACTCCTTTCACGTTGAGCAGTGAGAGTCACTCGGCTGCAATCAGCCGGTCCTCTGCAGGGTCTTCTGGCTGGCTCGATTCACAGCAGAGTTGGACAGCTGCG